CTTAACATGTTAGTGCTAATGTTGTTGGAAAATGTACGTACCTAACATGTTAGTGCTAATATTGTTTGATAATGTACGTACCTAACATGTTAGTGCTAATGTTGTTGAAAAATGTACATACCTAACATGTTAGTGCTAATGTTGTTTGATAATGTACGTACCTAACATGTTAGTGCTAATGTTGTTGGAAAATGTACGTACCTAACATGTTAGTGCTAATATTGTTTGATAATGTACATACCTAACATGTTAGTGCTAATGTTGTTTGATAATGTACGTACCTATGCTAATGTTGTTTGATAATGTACATACCTAACATGTTAGTGCTAATGTTGTTTGATAATGTACATACTTAACATGTTAGTGCTAATGTTGTTTGATAATGTACATACCTAACATGTTAGTGCTAATGTTGTTTGATAATGTACGTACCTATGCTAATGTTGTTGGAAAATGTACATACCTAACATGTTAGTGCTAATGTTGTTTGATAATGTACATACCTAACATGTTAGTGCTAATGTTGTTTGATAATGTACGTACCTAACATGTTAGTGCTAATGTTGTTGGAAAATGTACGTACTTAACATGTTAGTGCTAATGTTGTTGGAAAATGTACGTACCTAACATGTTAGTGCTAATGTTGTTGGAAAATGTACATACCTAACATGTTAGTGCTAATGTTGTTTGATAATGTACGTACCTAACATGTTAGTGCTAATGTTGTTGGAAAATGTACGTACCTAACATGTTAGTGCTAATATTGTTTGATAATGTACATACCTAACATGTTAGTGCTAATGTTGTTTGATAATGTACGTACCTAACATGTTAGTGCTAATGTTGTTGGAAAATGTACATACCTAACATGTTAGTGCTAATGTTGTTTGATAATGTACGTACTTAACATGTTAGTGCTAATGTTGTTTGATAATGTACGTACTTAACATGTTAGTGCTAATGTTGTTTGATAATGTACATACCTAACATGTGAGTGCTAATGTTGTTTGATAATGTACGTACCTATGCTAATGTTGTTGGAAAATGTACATACCTAACATGTTAGTGCTAATGTTGTTGGAAAATGTACATACCTAACATGTTAGTGCTAATGTTGTTTGATAATGTACGTACCTAACATGTTAGTGCTAATGTTGTTGGAAAATGTACATACCTAACATGTTAGTGCTAATGTTGTTTGATAATGTACATACCTAACATGTTAGTGCTAATGTTGTTTGATAATGTACGTACCTAACATGTTAGTGCTAATGTTGTTGGAAAATGTACGTACCTAACATGTTAGTGCTAATGTTGTTTGATAATGTACGTACCTATGCTAATGTTGTTGGAAAATGTACATACCTAACATGTTAGTGCTAATGTTGTTGGAAAATGTACATACCTAACATGTTAGTGCTAATGTTGTTTGATAATGTACGTACCTAACATGTTAGTGCTAATGTTGTTGGAAAATGTACATACCTAACATGTTAGTGCTAATGTTGTTTGATAATGTACGTACCTAACATGTTAGTGCTAATGTTGTTGGAAAATGTACATACCTAACATGTTAGTGCTAATGTTGTTTGATAATGTACATACCTAACATGTTAGTGCTAATGTTGTTTGATAATGTACGTACCTAACATGTTAGTGCTAATGTTGTTGGAAAATGTACGTACCTAACATGTTAGTGCTAATGTTGTTTGATAATGTACATACCTAACATGTTAGTGCTAATGTTGTTTGATAATGTACGTACTTAACATGTTAGTGCTAATGTTGTTGGATGATGTTATACCATGTTATGTTTGGTAATGTCTGTTTATACCAATTTGAAAACTTGAGAAATAAGAAATCCCACCCTCCACCCCCAACTCCTCAATAATTCCAACTGTGTCAATATACATGTTATACACTAGTGTTCAGTACCTGATATTCTCACCTTTCATTTTGTTCACTGAAAGGTCGATACAGTGAACACCAATTAAATCGCAAAATGTACAATCTTTATTTGTTATCCACATAGCTGTATTTGAAATAATAAATTACTACCCATCAATACCTCTAATTAAGAATGATTAAGAAACACTGATCATTGGAAGACCTTGACATCATTTTATGGCTGTTAATTATTACTATTAAATGCTATGTGGAGGCGTCGCTGTACTTAATTAAAACCTTACAGTTAATTTGTGTGAGATATATGTACGGGGTTAATGGATTTTTTATGACGTTTATAATTCACTACTTGTTATGACTTATATATATTAATTAATGGCTATGAAGTATACAAAAATTCTATAATTTTTTAATTAATAGAATGACACATTAACAAATTAAGGTGTCATGTATGATGTTTACACTGTAAATTAATGTACATTTCACAGTATTATGGGTGTAATTGGAAGAAATTTAATATGTTATAAAACATGAATATTTTAGATGCTTTACCTTTGAGACATTTTTCACAAAGTTATATGAGTTTCTGCCATCAGGAATAAAAAATATAAGTAAATGCTAAATCCACATACCCTTGATTCTACTCCAAAAACTGAGAGAGTGCACTATTTAGGAGGACGTTCACAGAATGTTTTATTTTCCAAACTTTCTAAATTAGTTGAGCCGTGCAAATGAAATAACTGCAAAGGTTTTATAGTTGATATTTGTTAACCTGTGATAAGTTGATGTCTAAGTACTGACCGTGCTAAATGAATGTCCTCACTTTTTGGGCAAAAACAAGATACAATATAATCAATAATATCATATCAGAGAAAAATACAAAGAAAGGATCTACCAAGCAGTTACATCAGTTACTAGTTAGAAGTATGATTTTACAGAAAGCAAGAAAAATTATAAATTCTATCCACATTTTTTTTAAACTGACAGATTTTTAAATTACCTTCGTACTGTTCACTGATTTTGTTTTTCTGGCACTGAGGGGTACATGGTGGCTGAGCCATGTTTACTAGGTTAAATCACCAAGATTTTCCAACAAAGAATGCTATTTCTTATTTTCGGTTTCATTTTTGAATGTACATTGGTTATTTAAAAGGATGGGGGAAAAAATTAGCCTGTTTATGTGCATAGATCCATCGAAGTGATCCGTTCTGAATATGTGAAAATGAAGTCAAGGCACGATAGATTGTATTTGCTAGAATCTGGCCGATCGCAAGGACACCTTGAAAATCGGGACAGTTGTTGCCAAGGTGTTGATTAAGGAAAGTTTGTCCATTGTGCGATAGCAAATATCAAATTCAGAAAAAAATATTTCTATGCCACAATTTGAATGCTTTAAACATTTTCAACTTACATCGTTTGAAAACTTTGTATAGAGATACATGGGCCTAGCTCTACCACTGTGATGTATATATCGTGTAAGACATCTTGGCACAAGGCACTAATTGCATAGATACCGACTTTTCTTGATTTTCCTACAACAATTGTTAGTACATATAGTACTGGTCCCAGATGGCAGACTTGCAGGTCGTAGTGCCAATTGTAGAGAATAAAAATCTTACTGTAGCTCCTGTTTGCATCCTCGATACCAACTTTTTGGACAGATGTGGAGCTTATGGTTTTTGATTATGGGAAGTTGTCATGAACATATAAACCTATCTCACTAAACATATGTTCAGGACTATTCTTTCTGCACTAAGGTAATCAGGACAAATGGTGATGACTTTTTTGTTGGTCATGTTAACTTAATTATTCCATCACTCAAACTTGAATTGTAGCAGTATATATTTCTTGAATCTTTGCGTAATTGTCAGACACATAATCTGCAATCTTAACTGTTGAAGGGGGAAACCAGAGGAGTGGGTAGAAACATTTGTCACTCATATTTGAAGAAATAAGAATTAAATCTAGTTTGAAGGGAGTTTGAATTTATTGATTGTAAAAGGATGTGAGTGAACAGGTGTTCGTAGCTGTTAATAAAATGTACAGTCACAAAGGTGAGAGAAATCAATTGAAACAGAAAAGATAAATGTACTGATTGAAGCCTTATATATAGATCACACAAACTTTGTTAACTGATTCATGTATGCGAGGACATGAACTTGAAAGTATATAAATTACATGGCCTACCAACTATAACAACATTGGTCTTAATCCTGGGCTTCTATCTTCATTTTCCCACAGTGCTGTACCTATGGTTTGTTATTGGATAGTGTTGTAGGATAGGTGAAGTTCTCTAGTCCCTAATTGGTGTTATTAGGGCCTGACCTTAAGGTCTCCTCCACTATCATAAAGGTGTGTCGAGGTCAAACATGTGGTTCTTATCATAATTAGCCTGTGTTAGAGCAGTTTCACCTTGTAATGACTGGATTGAAACTTAGCTGGTCAATGTCAAAATCAAGGAAATGCACTGAGGATAACAGAGAGGCACCTGCTGTTTTAGAAAAAGAAACCATCTGTCATGTGTTCAATATAACAAAACATCTGTTAACATTATGGAAGAGTTTTTGTCACTGTTTACCAGCATATGGATCTAAATACACCCATGGAAACGTTGATATTACAATATCAAAAGACATTTTTGAAATTAAAACCTGTGTGTTAATTTATTTGTTTTGTAAACTGTAATTACCTTTTTTTTTTATACATGTACAGCATCAATATCTCTATTTGTAGTACTATATAAAAAAATTGCTGTGGTTACGTTCCTGACTTGTTGGTTTTGATATGTAAATTAAGCAGTGGTCAATGGAGTATAGCACATATATGAAATGTCCTTTCAAATGTGAATGATACTGAAATTTAAATTAGAAATATCATGTACCCTTATATTGAATGAAACAAGATTGATTAACATAAGACCTTGAAAATGGTTTAAGATAATCTGGGGTTACATTTAATGTAAAGGTGAAAAATATCCTTACTTAACGCAAGACCTTGAAAATAGTTTCAGATTATTAGGAGTTTAATTTAATGTATCAGATGAAAAATGTACTCTATAGTATATGTATGTTCAGTGTTTGTCTTTATCTCTCCAGCTGATAGCTGATTATGAGGAGCAGGGAGGAAGTGGTTACCAGCCTCATAATGGAGATGGAGCAAGTGCCAGTTCAGCAGGAACTGCTAGTCCAGACATATTTCATCCTCCAGCCCAAAGTCCATCCTTCTCCCGAAAGGAGCTGCAGGAAGATCAGCATGACATTGTGGTCACTCCAAAGGATTTAACAACAGGTACATCTACAAACTGAAGGTCATCCATTTGTTGTCTAGATATACAAAGCAGGCAAAGGTTGTCCTTTTGTTGTCTAGATATACAAAGCAGGCAAAGGTTGTCCTTTTGTTGTCTAGATGTACAAAGCAGGCTATCTGAAGGTCATCCATTTGTTGTCTAGATATACAAAGCAGGCAAAGGTTGTCCTTTTGTTGTCTAGATATACAAAGCAGGCTATCTGAAGGTCATCCATTTGTTGTCTAGATATACAAAGCAGGCAAAGGATGTCCATTTGTTGCCTAGATACAGAGCAGGCTATCTGAAGGTCATCCATTTGTTGTCTAGATACAGGGCAGACTGTTTGAAGGTCGTCCATTTGTTGTCTTGATACAGAGCAGGCTACTTAAAGATCATACTTTTGTTGTCTAGATACAGCGCAGGCTTTCTAAATGTTGTTCATGATGTCTAGTTACAGTGCAGGGGATCTGAAGGTCATCCATGTTGACTAGATATAAAATAGGTTATCTGAAATTTATTAATGTTGTCTAATTACAGATCAGGCTATCTGAAGGTTGTTCTTGTTTAGTTACAGGGCAGGTTATTTGAAATTTATTAATGTTGTCTAGTTACAGTGCAGGCTATCTAAAGGTTGTTCTTGTTGTCTAGTTACAGTGCAGGCTATCTGAAGGTTGTTCTTGTTGTCTAGTTACAGTGCAGGTTATCTGAAGGTTGTTCTTGTTGTCTAGTTACAGTGCAGGCTATCTGAAGGTTGTTCTTGTTGTCTAGTTACAGTGCAGGCTATCTAAAGGTTGTTCTTGTTGTCTAGTTACAGTGCAGGCTATCTAAAGGTTGTTCTTGTTGTCTAGTTACAGTGCAGGCTCTCTGAAGGTTGTTCTTGTTGTCTAGTTACAGTGCAGGCTATCTGAAGGTTGTTCTTGTTGTCTAGTTACAGTGCAGGTTATCTGAAGGTTCTTGTTGTCTAGTTACAGTGCAGGCTATCTAAAGGTTGTTCTTGTTGTCTAGTTACAGAGCAGGCTATCTAAAGGATGTTCTTGTTGTCTAGTTACAGAGCAGGTTATCTAAAGGATGTTCTTGTTGTCTAGTTACAGTGCAGGCTATCTGAAGGTTGTTCTTGTTGTCTAGTTACAGAGCAGGTTATCTAAAGGATGTTCTTGTTGTCTAGTTACAGTGCAGGCTATCTGAAGGTTGTTCTTGTTGTCTAGTTACAGAGCAGGCTATCTAAAGGATGTTCTTGTTGTCTAGTTACAGAGCAGGTTATCTAAAGGATGTTCTTGTTGTCTAGTTACAGTGCAGGCTATCTGAAGGTTGTTCTTGTTGTCTAGTTACAGTGCAGGCTATCTGAAGGTTGTTCTTGTTGTCTAGTTACAGTGCAGGTTATCTAAAGGATGTTCTTGTTGTCTAGTTACAGTGCAGGCTATCTAAAGGTTGTTCTTGTTGTCTAGTTACAGTGCAGGTTATCTGAAGGTTCTTGTTGTCTAGTTACAGTGCAGGCTATCTGAAGGTTGTTCTTGTTGTCTAGTTACAGTGCAGGTTATCTGAAGGTTCTTGTTGTCTAGTTACAGTGCAGGCTATCTGAAAGTTGTTCTTGTTGTCTAGTTACAGAGCAAGCTAGTTGTAAAGCTATCATTTGCTGTTGGTGAAGAATGTGATGGTTACTATTGTCATCTGATCATTTTTCAGGGTGAACTACATATACTTAATTGTTGTTTCTTATCCCGAGAAATATCTAACAGTAACTGATAATGGAACAAATATTATCTTACTTATATTAGTTTTCATTAGTACTACTGGGTAAAAGTGATGATCTAAATATCTAGTACAGGTTGTAAGAAATCAGGCAATGTCATCAGTGTAATTATGTATTATTAGAATGCTTCAAAAAATGCTGGCAGATACTTTGAATAAATAACAGATACATGTTTGTAGAGTTCTGAGCTTCAGGAATCTTGTATACTGAATCTTCTTACTTCCCAAAATATGTGTTCTTTGGAAACCAGTAACATGTTCATCAGGCTGGTACTGAATGGCCTTTTCTTACTGAAAACCAAAAGATCTGTTTGATGATTTAAATGTTAATTTGAATTGAAATAAGTTAATAATGTGATATGACTGTCTTACAGGGTCAGGACTGACGGTCAGACATGGCAGTGAACCCATGTTGAATGTGACAGATGAGGACCGGTCAACAGAACCACAGTTAATGGTCAAGCCAATTAAGGTAAATGTTTTACATAAACAAGATGGAAAATATTTGAGTGTTAATGAAGAAAATTAGAGAGTTGGTAAATAAAAAAAGGTTCGAGATCACATAAATGAAGACTTCAATAGAAATCATGGTATTCTGATACACCCTCTCAGTGTATGATAATCATCGGAATTTATGAACCTTAATATGAAGATAATAACAATATTATAGATATTGGTTACGTATATAGTTACATGATGGTCAGAAGGAAAAGGTATTTAGGTGTAATAGGTTCTGCTCCATCACTTTGGTGTGTGAGATAATTGGAGCAAGACCAAGCACTTGCACACATACTATGTATGTACCTATAAATAGGCACAGATTTGTTAGCTCAAGTTAAAATACTCACCTTCTAAAGCGTTTATAAATTCACTATGGTCTTCTGACATATTTTGAACTATAAATCTGGAAAGGTCAGAATTACAGATGCAAATATTTTGATCCAATGTAGAAAATTAATGAAAAGCAAGTTTTGTTAGTTTTGAAAAAGCATAAAGTATCAAAAATATCTCAAGTTGACATGAAATTTTGTACACATCTCTCTTGAGAACTTAATGCACTTTCCCAATAACAACAAGAGTTTTGCTAATTCTGTTTAGTAATTCAGGTGGAGTTTTGAATTTTGTTAAAGAATTTTTCATGTTTTAAAAAAAAATTTAAGTTGGCAAAAGTTAAGTCAGCAATATGTATATAGGTGAATTTTGTTTCTTCAAAACTTTGAACTTAAATTTTCCATCATTATTTCCACATAAATGTATATTAAGACATGACTATAATAATAATAAATGACTTTATTTAAGAGTCGATAACACTTTGAGTACAAGACTCTTCTAACAAGTGGTCGACAGTAAAATGTACAATATATACAACATTAAGATTACAGCATCACATATGATATAAAAATCACAAATATCACAGCAAACTAGCATAATCATGAAGGACTAAGATGTACATCAATAAAACAAATGTAATGATAAATGCACATAGTGAAGAGGTATATATCAAGGTTATAGAGTGACTAATAATATAATAAAAGGACTAAATTAGCGAGGTTTTGTAAGGGATAAAGGACTGATAATTAAAACAATTAATTGGCAACAATTAATTGACAATTTCTCTTTCTCCACCAGTCATTCTTCAGTTATTTAATATTCCGTAAACGTAGAGATCAAATATGAGCTCAAGTCCTGGCCTGGTAATGATGAGAGTCCAAAACAGAATAATATTAACAATGATTAATGTAGATGTGATATTTTTGCCTTTGAATATATACGTGTATCGTAACATACTTTCAGATTAATGAAGAATTGTTCCAATACATCCATGGTTACTTTTTGTTATGCTTGTTTCACAATTCAGAACATTTATATCCATTGACGTGATATATATATATGTGTGTGTTACTTTGTATTTTGGGTGAAGAAAGCACTGAAGAAAAACGTAGATAATTATCTAGAAATTGTATACCAGTAAGTAGCCTAACTCTTTCTGAAGGACACGCTTCATTACCTCTGCTGTTGATACAGGTCTCGTGACATAGGTGTTATGTATATGTAGAACCCAGAACAGCTTTACTTTTTGTCAATGTCTTGTTAGTTTGGTGGGTATCTAAAAGATAATTTTAATTTTGAAAAAAAAATTTTTGTTCCACAATACTAATTGATTCCCTACTCCGATTTGGCCATAAATAAATTTTAAAATCCTTAAAAAAAAATTCTTAATTTTCTGTTATTGATAACACATTTTAAGGAAATAGGTTCAAAACATTCATTAATTTCAATTTGTTGTAGGAATTAAATTAAGCTAACTATGCTAAAGTCATTTTCTGGTCAGGTACTTTATCACCTTACTCATTCACTTGAGTAACCAGATTCCATCACATGACCTTTGACCTTGGCAGAGGGACAGACTACAGTGTGTTTCACTTTCTGTGTCTACTCAAGATCTTATATATGTGTAAGGTGGATATTATTTGTTACACACAAAACACATAATAAACAGAACACGCCTGGTCTTGTTGATTTTATGACTGATCCAGTAATTTGATTCTGTACCATGTGTTATGATAGTACTCATCCTCTCTACTGGACTCCACTCAGCCTATGGACCAGCTCAAGGTTATCAGATACTTTAGGCTGTAAGATGTGTTTATTTTCAAAACACAAACCTCTTCAGCATTACAGTGTAGTGATGTTTTGTGAAAAGGACCATAGGCAGTAATACTGTATACAGGAACATATACCAATGTACACAAAACAGGTGTCACAAATGAGACGAAAACTTGTTAACAGATCAAGTTGGATGGAATTTCAGGTAAATGATGAAGCGAAGCCCACTGGAATCATGCATGTCAAACAAGCATCATTGGACGAAGGCAAATCTAGGAACCCTTTCAGTCGGTTTGCAAGGGATTCCTGGAGACAGTCTGTTGGAAGTCGTCCAGATATGTACAAATGGTTGGAGGCCCAGGAACGACAGCAGGACAAGTATCATCAACCAGTATGTATCATAGACAATAAAAATTCTAAAGTTTAGGGAAATAGATTTTTCTTACAGCAGTTTTAGTAATGTGAAATCAATTATAAGCTATATTGACAACTTCCATTGCATTTTGGTAGTAGAGTTAAGTTAAGATAAACACACAATAGGCAAGCAGCCAAGGTGAAATCTATCTTAACCAGATTTTTGCTGAAAAGATATAAGAAAAGGTTTCAATTTTCAGCTGTTATCAGAAAATGTTATTTTATGTTGTACATGTATAATTCTTGAAACAAAACTTTTGAATTATTTTTGTTGCATTACTCTGTACCTATTTATAGAGGATATAGTACATTTCTTGAGGGAGATTGAGAGGATATGGCGTTTTATCAAAATACCTTTATCATATATCTAATTCAAAGATGGAGAGACGAGAGCCTGTTGGTAGTGTTAGTATGGAAACCAAGGAAGACAACTCTGTTTCCCAGCCTGTAATCAAACCAGCCCTGACGCCAAACATATCCGAGTAAGTTATTGTTACTGAACTAATGGCCTAGTTCCTTGTCCAGTTAATAAACCTTTTCAAGATTTAACCCTAAAGATGTGAGTTAATTTGACTAAGTCTGCAGAGTTTGAATAAATGTTGTAGTTAAAATTCATGTTAATGTAATAAAACTTGTAATATTCACAAGGATTATCTATTTCTTCTAGTCCTGTAGAAATTATTCTCATCAATGACGGAGGTCCCCTAGGTATCCATGTAGTTCCTGAGTACAACGAATCTCAAAAGTAAGTGACAGTATTAATCATCCAGACTAATTAGACTCCTTTATTTCATAGAGGTGTGAAAAGATAGAAAAGTATTCAAAGACAGAAAAGGCGAAAGATGTTAAACACAATTTAATAATGAATTACTTAAAAGTTGTCTTTCATCGTTTTATATTGAGATTGCCATTGGTCAAGGTTAAAGGGTCATGGATCACATTTGAATACTTCTGTGTGAATGGGGGTAGGGGATTTCATGCCTTACAGATGTTTTCTTCTATTCATATTAGACCAATTAGACTTCAAAATAAAGCTAATGGCAGATGGCAGAAATGTTTTATAAGTTGACATTGTTTGTAATGTAACCTTTCCATTTCCAGGGAGTTGGGTTTACTGGTACAAGGAATAGAACCAGGTGGCAAAATTTTTAAAGATGGTCGTCTTAGTGTCAATGACCGAATTGTTACCATAAATGGAACTAGTTTACATGGTGTCAGTTTTACCAGGTTTGTATTTCTGTAAGTATGTGGTCAAACTCTGTAGATCCTATTTCTCGTGTCTCTTGGATTAAGACAACTGACGGTTGATCATCTGTACAATTTTGATATTGGAGGTATCCCGGTGAGTACAAAACAGGGAAGATAGGTGTTCTTAGATGTTGCTTTGCTAGGAATCTGAGTGACTGATGGATTTTTGACCTGTGAAGACTGATCCTTACCAATACTTATTATGTAGGTTAGTTGTTATATAATTAATTCTTTATTGTCAGAAATTGGCATACAATTGCAACTTTAAAAAAAAAAGTGGCATTCCGAAAACTGTTCATATTACAAACTTCAATGAGTTGGTGAAAAGATGCACCAGACCTGATATGAGTTTCTTTACTGTTTGATATTGAAACTAGCATCATTAAGATAAGTGATATTTTAAACTAAATCTTCTGATCAAGTTATGGAAGTGTCTAGTGAACATCAAAAGATAGCGTTAATCACAAAGACTTTCTAATAAAATCTTTTGTATAAATAAGCTTGTAACATGCAGACTAAAATTAAACATGTGTCAGCACTTCAAACAACCAAAGTCATCAGATAAATAATTGAGTGGTGAGATAGAGCCCTGCCAAATGTATCAGTTTTCTGAGGAAGGTACTGTAGGCTGCTGAGTATACAGTGGGATTACATAACCCACCATATCAGGATCTTGAATGTTAACTCATCACAGTAAACTGAGGACAAAAGATCCATGTGGTTTTTTTCTTTTTTTTTTTCTCATTTATCTAAGTTAGTCACTTTTAAACATGTACCAGAGTTTGGGATAACTTCTTCTGTCACTGTTTACTGGTGAATGTTGATCCCAACCTTTCCTAATTTCTTTGAAAATTGTTTGTTTTCAGGGCTCAAGACATATTTCGCAAGGCTATGACCACATCAGAAATACAACTGTTTGTAGTAAAGAAAAAAGCATCTCTGCCAAAAAATCCTCCTCCACCTGTTGCCCCCAAACCTCGCAGCCACACACCTGTTAAACCATCTCCTCTGACTCTCCCTATTAATAATAAGCTAGATTTGGTAGACCAGTTATCTCCCCTTGGCCCAGAGATCACCAGTACACCGACAGGATCTGTACAGAGCACCAGTCCAGACACACAGGATGGGAAGTCACCCCTGTCACAGCGTACCTTCAGGGAGCCAATCAGATCTGGACACCATCATGCCAACCCATTGTCCCCAATCAAGAAGGTCCCTCCTGTTCCACCAGCAAGAAATCCAAAGACCTCTCTCTCAGCAAATCCGGAGCCAACCATCTCAACCATCAAGGCTCCCACCAATACCAAGAGAATTGGCAAGAAAATAGCCATAGAACTCACTAAAGGTAATGGTAATAATCTATATTTCCAAATCTCAAAAAAAAAAAAAAAAAAATTAACAATTTATCCTCCTTGACAGCTTTTGAAATAAAAGATTTGTGTCATATAAACTCCTTGACAGTATTAGTTCATATTCACACCTTAGAATCACTTCATCAAGATCAATATCAAAATAGATTTTGGTGGTCATTGGTCAAGGTCAAAGGTCACTGTTGACCACTTTTGAAATAAAAATGAAAGCCTGTTCACAACATAGATATGTTATGAACTCCTTAACAGATTAAGTTGGTAACAGATTAAGATCAAAAGAAATGATAAAGGGATAAATTCATTAGATATACAACAGTGTATTGCATTTTTGATAATCCCTCTAGAAGTTAAGAATTTTATGTTTTTTCCTTGTTTGTATTGTTTACTACGTGCCCTGCATTTAGCAACTAAACAACTGTTAAAAAAATATTATATTTGTAATCTTACTTGACCTGTTTCTAACATGTCAAATATTGTGTTTATTTTGTAGGTCCACAGGGACTTGGGTTCAGTGTTACAACCAGAGACAACCCTGCGGGTGGGGACTCACCCATCTACATCAAAAATATACTCCCAAAAGGAGCTGCCATTGCAGATGGACGACTGAAGGCTGGTGACAGACTTTTAGAAGTATGTTCAGCATCAGAGGATCATGTATTAGTGATAAAGACATAATCAACTGATCTGATAGAATTTAATATAAATTATGTGTACATCACAAAATTTAAAGTAATTTTGTTTCTACTAAAATACCTCCCAATTGGCTTACTTTTATTCTGTTCTTTTGCATGCGCAATAATGTCTAATTTTCATTAGACCATCAGAGACCACAGCCTGTATTCTGGTCTCATTCTTTTTAACATTGATGAACTGATAATGAAATATGCTCATGGTGTCATTTGCATTCCCTCAAAACTTCTTAAGATATGATATATAAAGCTGGAAGTTATAAAGATGTGGTAATTAGCATGTTTTTAAGCTGGGTTTAAGTGGTTTAATGACAGAATATATTTGGTATTTTCTACAGGTGAATGGTGCTGACATGACTGGTAAGACTCAGTCAGAGGCAGTAGCACGACTTAAGAATTGTGCCATGGGTAGTCTTGTCAAAATTGTTGTGTCCAGACAGGAAGTGGAACAAGAGGAGAGATTTCGTGTTCCTCGCAAACTGGTATGTATGCAGTATATCAATGCTATCCGGGATCATGTTTAGCTCAGCTGGTATAAACACCTGTGAGCTATAGCAGTGGTGCAAAATCCTTATGTCTATCAAATGTCTGCCACAGAAACCTGAGGTATAGAAATACTCACAGACGCGCTGTTAAAAGTGTTCAAACAAAAGAAATTGGTGTTCATATTTATTACAGGGCACAAACATTTAATAGTTGAATTTCTAATTAATTTCTAATTGTCTGAAAGGGATGAACTTGTATTATCAGGTAATGAGTAAGGCTTACAGTTTTCATATTTAAAAATGAAATGATTTTTGCTTTCTTTTTCATTGTAAATGTTTTTTAAAAAAAAGATGAAAAATGCAATTCTGTGTGAAAGACCTAGTGAGTGATTACCACCTGTTGTTTTCTCATGATACTATAGGGAACATGGACGAAATGTCATTATCTGTTGTAGATCAACATGATGCAGCATGTTGATTGTTGAGGAGGTTGAAATAAGTTGTGTATTTTGGTGTTGATTTTCCACCACGGGAATGAATACCAAACAATAGCTAGATATGACTTTGCATATGTTATAAAGTGAATTATTGGAATTTACCTTTTTTGAATTATTCCATGCAGAGACAGTGACAATAGTTTCAAGATGGATACATGTTATAATATCTATGAACAATTTTTTGTAAGATATATTCCATCCTATTCTGCTTATCCTGCTTTTATAGAATAAATACTAATTAAACTTTAATGTAATGAATTTCAAGATAATTCAATTTCTATCAACAGTTTTCATTATCTTCTCGCAAGTTTTCTCAGTGTTCTGATGTAAAATATTTCCTCCATATAACAATCAAACTATGCTTATTAGAAAAGTACTTTGATGTTTCATTTGCTATTTCTGTTGTTTACATTCACATATCTCACATTTACCAAGTATCTGTTGAAGCCAGGAAGATGACAAGTTGCCCTAAATTTTATGTGACTCTGACCTATCACATCTGTTGAGGAGTCCAGCTGATGGCCACGCCTCCTTGGCACCCACTGTATTATTTGCTACGCCCACTTGTGTTAATGACACACCCCTTCACGGTTTTGTTTGGGTACTAACCCTGCTGCCTGATTGTTGTTGTCACTGTAGATGTGTACTGTGCTATCTGTAGCAATATGCATGCTAACTTTAGTGGTTGTAACTTTGAGTATTGCCAAGTTTGGACAGATATAGTTTCTAGTTGCCTGAAAATGTACAGGCTTCAAGAAGTTTTATGGAGTATTTAAAATATGATATATTCTTTTCATTTTTCATCTTTTCTATTCCTATTCATACGCTGAGTGCTTCATTTTCTTTTAAAAGGCTGTCCTTTCCTTTTGTTCCTTTTGATCTGTGCTATGTAGTTGTAAAGTGTTGTATGGTTAGATTAGAAACCATTGTTTCATATTTAGGTTTGCTATTAGGGATGCAAGTGGATTTTCATTTTTCCTCAAGTTTTATCATTCTGTTCATCATATTTGAAGTTACTTAATATGTGATAATTCATAGGTTTTAATTTTACTTTGTGGTCTAGTCAAATTTATCATACTATAGATTCATTAAGGTGATTTATGTGATTAATGAGGAAAGATTACCTCATGAGCCCCATTACCCATTTTTGTATATAATATACAATGTTTGATTCCTGAACACCAAGAAACAATTTAACAGTTACACAAAATGTTGCCCACTGTTTTCTCCTGTCATTGACATCATATTGTGGTGTCATCTTGTCATTGCTTTAATGTCTAAAGAATTTATTTTCAAGTTGAAGAAAATCTTTAAATCTAAATGATCATATTAATATGTACTTTTTCTTTAGTTCCCCCCCTCCTCCCCCCGACTTTTTCTCCTGCTTTCTCCTTTTTTTCCTCAGTTATTTTCCAGTAACATGTATGCTTTACTCTTTCTGTATTCTGTTAGATAGCAGGTTCTTTCTTTGTAACATATCATCTGCTTGTATTTTTGTCCTGTATGAAGTACATTTTTCTTCGAGCAAAATATTCACCATTATGGTGAAATACTTGTGTTCATGTCAAGTAGGCTTCATCATTAAATTCACTTTTCAACTATAATCTTCATTTTATATTGATGATTTTATCTTCTTGTCAGTTGTGGTAAAATATATGCCACATTTAGAATGTCACAGTTGCCACTTTTTTTATGAGGAAAACTAATAGTCCTGTCTAAAAACTTGCTTTCTTTTGCATGAAATTTTTTGGTTGTTTGTCAGTGTGGCTAATATCGTAATAACACATTAATCCACAACTGCAGGTGTGATGGCTTTTGCTCTGTTTGTATAGTAATGCCAACTGTGAAATGAGAGGGATGGTAAGGCCAGGTTAGGTATTAGTGTGACTGTTATTGTACTGGTAGTATCCTAGTGATGAATGAGAGGGATGGTAAGGCCAGGTTAGGTATTAGTGTGACTGTTATTGTACTGGTAGTATCCTAGTGAGGAATAAGAGGGGTGGTGAGGACAGGTTAGGTATTAGTGTGACTGTTATTGTACTGGTAGTATCCTAGTGAGGAATGAGAGGGGTGACTGTTATTGTACTGGTTGTATCCTAGTGATGAATGAGAGGGATGGTAAGGCCAGGTTAGGTATTAGTGTGACTGTTATTGTACTGGTAGTATCCTAGTGAGGAATGAGAGGGATGGTAAGGCCAGGTTAGGTATTAGTGTGACTGTTATTGTACTGTCAGTGTCTTATCACCTAGGCAAGTTGGATTATTACAACACTTAAGATAAAGAAAGCTGTCAGTTATAACATGCAGAAACGAAACAATTTATATCAACTAAAAGAGGATGTACGCCCTTGGTTTGTGATTCAGCAGATCGCTTTATTGTGTGTGTTAACCTAAATGATGATATAATTACTCAGATATAAGTGTATCAGGGCTCTTTACTTACATTGTGGTATGACCTGATGTATAATGTAACCTAGCAGGGCTGATTGTTTGGGAGATGCCAGGTCAGTGTATGACCTGATGTATAATGTAACCTAGCAGGGCTGATTGTTTGGGAGATGCCAGGTCAGTGTATGACCTGATGTATAATGTAACCTAGCAGGGCTGATTGTTTGGGAGATGCCAGGTCAGTGTATGACCTGATGTATAATGTAACCTAGCAGGGCTGATTGTAAGGGAGATGCCAGGTCAGTGTATGACCTGATGTATAATGTAACCTAGCAGGGCTGATTGTTTGGGAGATGCCAGGTCAGTGTATGACCTGATGTATAATGTAACCTAGCAGGGTTGATTGTTTGGGAGATGCCAGGTCAGTGTATGACCTGATGTATAATGTAACCTAGCAGGGCTGATTGTTTGGGAGATGCCAGGTCATATAACCTATAGACAGTCTGCTGATGCAGTGATTGGTTAGAAACAAACTAAGTGGCTTATTTTAACAATTACCTCCCCTTGTAAGATTGTTTTTTTTTAGTATGTTGTTGTAAACGTTTTTCTCTAGAATAGAATTCTTATCATACCATAATATAATCAGCGTTAACTTGGACTACAAGGTATTGGTATTGTGTGTTATTGGTTGTGTACAGGGATTGATCTGTCAGAAATTACTCTAGGTATTATTCGTCATTTGTATCTACTTGTTTCATAATGCTATTTTTTAATTGTCTTTTTTCATAGATTCACTTTATTTGTACATACTTTCTGATATATTATTAAACTTGTATTGTAAAATTGTCAGAGCGTCTACCTAAAATGACCAATCCCTGTACTAGTCAGAGCACTAGCTATGTGTACTTCTATATTAATTTGTAGTAGAACTTAGGTAAGTACTGACTGTATGTGTTGTAGTGATTCTTTGAATGCTTCATTTGTCAAAACAACATGTTTAACAGAACGAGCATAGATCTATAACAGGGAGGGTAAATTGTTTCCACAGTGATAAATACAATGCTGGTATGTAAATGATACCAATCACTTGTACTAACAAACACAATGTCATTTTTATACACAAATATGTTTAAGTTATTGTTAATTTGGGTTTCATCATCATTAACAACCATTAGCAAAGTCTGGTCAATGTATGTCAAATGAAGTGTTCAAACCCTTTACCTAGCTAGCACCGTAACATCAATAGTTTTGTGATGTGGCCTCGACCTTTGAACTCTCCTGGACTCCTCTTGTCATCTTCTTGTGCGTTTTCAGGATAATGAGAAAGAAAACCAAAAACAAAATGTCTTACAGCCCTCAGAAAAGTCTGGTGATGATGGTACGCTTGTGGGAATGAGGAACAAGGAGATTCTTACCCTCGATATTCCACTGAAAGAATCAGGGTCAGCAGGTTTAGGGGTCAGTGTCAAGGGTAAGACCCAAACTACAGAGCACGGACAAAGGGATCTGGGCATCTTTATCAAAGCTGTGATACATGGAGGGGCTGCTTCCAAGGTAAAAAGGGAAATAGATTGAAGAGTAATTTCCTTGTATCAAGTTGCTTTGAATATAAGTGTTTCAGTGTAAGTTGGAATGAAACATTGCAATATTTTGGTTTATATTCTGTTTGTCTCCCCACAAGTAAGCCTACCTGTAGTAAGTAATATATTGTTCACTGACTTCTCAAAGTAAAATATAACTGTAGGTGTATTGTGTAAGAAATCACTTGTTATATTATTAAAGACCTCTAGTCTACCTTATACAACAGGAAACAAAATGTAAAACTACTAAAAATAGTTCTGTGTTAGATACTAATGAGGATTTTAATGTTGATTTTGTGTATTTGTTTACAGGATGGAAGATTAATTATCAACGACCAGTTGTTAGAAGTAAATGGTGATGTGTTACAAGGGCTATCTAATACAGAAGCCATGGTAACGCTACGGAATTCTATGCAGAAAGATGGACCGTTATTAGGACATATACACCTTGTGATAGCACGGAGAATAGGGGCACCGTCCCCATCCCCGTATCAGGAGTACAGTACAGATTACATGCTGTTTGATGAACAGCGGACTAGTGGTGATGATAGTCAGGAAAATAGGGTTGATATAGAAAGTGAACGGACGTCAGGTGCTAAGGGAGGTAACTCTAAAGAAAGTAACAACAATATCAAAGATTATATAGATGGTGCTAAAGCACAAAACTCTGCATTGGAGCGACTGATGAGTGGGGGTAATGGCCTGCGAAATGACTCCTACACACGGGCTACAAGTGATCAAGATGTAGAAGGGGTAGGGCTCCGTAATGAATCTTACACACGAGCCACCAATGATAGTGCTAACATGTTTTTACCAGGAATGTCTCCTGCAGCTAGTCATCAGCGCAGTGCCCCCACCCTCAGGCCCCGGGGGGTGGAAGCAGTGATGATTGAGGATGACTCTAGCCATAAAAAGCAGGTAATGTTTGCAAATTTGGCAGTGTGACATATTACTGGTAATGTTAATGTAATGATTAATGTAGGATATCTGTAATTGGTATTAATCAATGTACATCATAATTAGGTTATGTGTTAAGTGCAAAAATGTAGTAGCTGACATTTTCATTATAATGGTTTGATATTAAAACATCTGCCATGTGGGTTCACAAAGCTTCAGTTAATCAAACTAAACTTTTTATTTTTCCCCCAATGTTTTCCCAGCAATATGATGGCTAGTGAATGATGATTAAGGGAGGTTACTGTGACCAGTGAGTTTGAACTGCAACCTGCACTGATAGTTTTTCTGTCATGAATAAGCTTCATGATTTCTAAATTGACACTTGTATTATACATATCTTTTTACAATTTTCAAAGCATATGGAGTAGTGTTCACTTACTCTGTCCAGTAATGGCTTTAAAATCTTTATATAATGGATTCTGTCATTGCCAAACTTTGGTCTTTTTAGTTCCCATGTTTCAATGATAATGATTAATGTCTACCTCTTGCATACCGGTAAATGGTGTGGTCCCGAGAGGGTACTATTGATCACCTGTGTGTATTCAGGTATAAGATGAGCTGGTCCTTTATAGTTGCAAAGAATTTCCTTTATATTTGGTAGAATAATAATGACAGTACTGTTATGTTTCTTGATCAATTTGCCTAGAATTATGACATGAAGATGCGTCCACATTCAACGCTGGGGATCCTGAGAGGGTCCCCGCCCAATTCCAACAGTAGCAGCTCTGAGGACCTAAGGGAACAGCCACCTAGCTGGCTGCGAGGCCCAGACTGGAATCGCCATCCAAGTACACCCAGTGATAGACATCCTAGTACAACTAGTGATAGACATCCTAGTACAACTAGTGAGGAGCCTATGTAAGTAAATGAGGCTCACCACCATGACCCAGTAAAAAGTAGATAATTTACGATATCTAACCAACTTTGTAGTCTATTTCAATTTTCTATGTCGGTTTTGTTAAGTATTTTATTGTAATACATTATTGTATTTTATAGTATACTTTTCCATTTGTGTCTTGAAGAATCTCGAGTTCCATTCACCTGTACAGGTGAGAGATATACAGCATTGTAACGGTGAAGAATAAGTTCTATTTCTGTGTGATACTAAAAGTCCTTGAAAGTATCAGCTTGATTACCAACAGGTGCATCCTTTATATATAACAATTCTGTCCCAGTCACACTACCTGTCCCAGTCACACCACCTGTCCCAGTTACACCACCTGTTCCAACCACACCCAACCACACCACCTGTCCCAACCACACCCAGCCACACCACCTGTCCCAGCCACACCCAGCCGCACCACCTGTCCCAACCACACCACCTGTCCCACCCACACCACCGTATCAGCCACACCACCTGTCCCAGTTACACCATCTGTCCCAACCACACCACCAATCCCAGTCACACCACCTGTCCCAGGCACACCACCTGTCCAAGGTGCGCCACCTGTCCCAGCCACACCACCTGATATGCTGACCATTTTTTTGTGACCAGAATCTCTGGTACAATTATACATCACTGAGAAGGTACTATAGCTTTCCCATTATTATTGCTGTAATATCAGGAGTCCCTTGGTGGCTGAACCATTTGCACGTGATGGTGTTGGGCGACAGAGTATGTCAGAAAAAAGGCGTGGCCATCAGGACCCAAGGGGCAGCGAGTATTACCAGCGAGCCAAAACCATAAGGGACAGTCAGAAAGGTAAGGAGCTAAATGTACCCCACTTTTACTTCATCAGTGGTAGATACATTTGTAAATTAGCTTTTCATTTACTAAGTTTTATGGCTTTAAAAGTATCATTTACTGAATTATGTTAATTAGAATTACACTTAAAATAAATATTGAAGTGATCAGGTGATTTTGTTGAAATTGTTTTGTTTGAAATAGTTTCTCTAAAACCATCATTTTTACAAATATATAAACTACATATAATCATTCCATAGCTTTGTCCCCGTCATATTATACCTTGGCAACCATGCTGGTCTTATCACCATATAGCAACCACTTTACCATACCAACCATTGCTGGTCATATCACCATATTGCAACCATATTGCTATAGCAACCATGCTGGTAACATTACTATGGCAACTATGCTGGCCATTTTGTCATTTTCCCATAATTATAACAACCGTTTGCTTATCACATCGCCATAGTACAGTACTTGTATGGTGATTTTCTGATTAGGGCAGTCTAATAATGCTGATGGGATTCTCACACGGTGAATGTGCATTTGGAAATCTAAAACACAAGTAGGATGTCCATTATGATTTTGTTGTGTTCGTTTTCAGATGAAAAGACAAAAAAGCGTCGTTCAGCCTCCTTTCATGTGGCAGGTAGCAACCTGAGTTTATACCTCCATTGTTTGTTGGCCATTGATTCTGTAGTCAGACACTGTCTATATAGTATTCTTGGAGCATGGCCTCTACATTTATCTTCTCACAGTACCACCACAAGTTGGCAGCATTTCCACACAAAAACAGGCTTTTTATATCATTATGAAAGCATCAGGTCACTTTATACAATTTTAATTTTACAGTAATATTACTGATATTACTTAAAATCTGTCTGATGTATATTTACATTTTAAGCTTCAATATTTTTATGAATTACTTAATTAACTAATTGATTTATTTTTGATGTTACCAAGGTAACTAGTTGATTTATTTTTGATGTTACCAATAACAAAACAAAGACAGTATTTATTTTACCCGTGTCATACAACACGTTAGAATACCTATTGGTATACTGATAATGACCTGTTTTTGTCCGGTTTTGTTACACCACTTGGTATCTCTAACTACAATTCCAACAATACTACTTTGTTATAATATGCATATGACTTAATTGAGTTTCAAGAAATCAAGTTGAAATTAATACACATTTTGTTTTTGTAATGGTGTTATCATTTATGGAATTGTTGGTGGGGAACACAATATAAATATCTAAATCAAAACATTCCAATATCTATAGAGTTATTGTTTTTTTTATCTAGTTTTAATTTATAACTGTGTAAGATTTCCAAAGTTTGGTTTGCTCCCTGTGATATAAAGTTATAGACATTTACTTAGTGGTTCCTACAATACAACATCAGAATTAGTTCTCCATAAAGTATACTGAATCACTCTGGTTTGATTCCTCAAAATCATCCGCAGATTAAATTCCTTTTTATTATCATATTAATTACAGTTTGATACCAAACTAGTAAACATTAAATATTTTTCTTATGAATATCTATTAACCTACAATTAATTACAGCCTGTAAAAGCTCCTGCTAGTAAATTAATGTAAAATAAATTATTTAATAATAATTATATACATCTATTAATCAAACAAAGTATATAGCATACAAATTAATGCTTTTTATGTAAATCCTAAATATTGCTTAACATCACCGTCATACTGTTCTTACCTATTAATTTTATTTCTTAATCAAGAAACAAAGCCATCGCTGACTAGAATGATATAACTACTAGGTGCTGATATAATCACTCTCTGCAACATAAGACACTATATTTCAGTCTAATATTGTAAATTGGGTTATTTTTGCGGTAAAAAATTTCAGGCACTCTCTACAAACCTTTTGGATAATCTGTTACCAGTGATGTCCTGTTTGGGTAGGGTCCTTTGTATCTATATATCTTACTCCTTATTTCAATATTTCTCTGGATGGTAACTAAAAGATCTCTTCTCACTGATGTATTTGACTTGGAGGTATAAAAAAAAAGTTAATGTGTTGAATATTGATAGGGTTAATAACTGTTTTTGTTACAGTGTTTGAGTTTGCTGTTTATTTCTTTTTTTTTTCAAATATTATTTGTTCAAGATGTTGATATTTTTTTGTAATATTCTGTGTAGGATGCTAATGTACAATTCCATGTAAGGATGTCAACATATAGACTGTAGTACCATATAAGGATATTCCCATTTAATGTACCATAATGGGTTTACATACAAACTACATACAGTACCATGTACAAATATCAATACTTAGTCCCATATAAAAATGTTTTAATATTTTATACCATATTTATAAAGATGTTTTTATGTACCATATGGATATGATCGTATAAGGATATTAACTTTATGTACCATATAAGGATGTGTACAAAACCATATAAGGATGTGTACAATACCATATAAGGATGTGTACAATACCATATAAAGATGTGTACAATACCATATAAGGATGCTAACATACCATACCATATAAGGATGCTAACATACCATACCATATAAGGATGCTAACCTACAATATTTTACAAGGATTCTACTGTATAAGTACACATGTAAATAAGGATGTTCGGATACAGTATGATTATGTATTGATATGATATTGAAGTAAATTTTTCTTCCTATAATATAATTTATTATAGGCCTACCAGTATTAACAAATATTTACTATATTATATGATCTGGGTACATGAAAGTCTGATTTGAATCCATTTGAATTTAACCTTTGAAATTTATATGATCAATTTATTTCACTTTTCAAAATCCATTAAAATACCCTTCACAGCATACATGACTATTTCTTAGAAGTTGTGATAAATTTGTACCTGTCTCAGAAAAAGTTCAAGTATTGTTAAAGAAAATGAAGGGGAGATAACTGTTATTATGTTGTTTGTAATATGAGAAACCTGATCAGCTATTGGTATCTTATTTAGACAAATAAACCTTATTAACATTTGTCAGAATTTATAATTTACAGTAGCAGATAACACTTGATTCCCCATGTATACAATAATGACATTCAGAATTCTCAACTGGACTTACATCCTCTAACCAGGATTCATTCCAAAGCTACAGAAAAAAAAAACTGGATCAAGCTGATTATACATATTGCATCTTGTTCCAAAGCATGAACTTTTTAAAAGTTGTTTCTAATGTCAACATTGCATTTCAGTTGACACTCTTGGAATGACCTCTTGTTGCAAGTCTATGAAACTGGCACTACCTGTAGTATTGTATGCTAAATGATACCACTATCACACAGTCACCCCTTCCCATTCATCAGTTGGTGTTTTGAATTATTGCTACAAATAAGACACATATTTTGAAAATCTATCATGAATCTTGTGCTTTAAAAAATAGAAAATCAGGTTAATAAACCTGACTCCGATTTTAAAAGGCCTTTTGTACAGGAAAGGATGTTATATAAATATACAACAGGGTGCTCATGAAAGTTGACTGTCTGTTGTAGTGTTTAGATTCCAACTAGCAAAACTGGATAAGAAATAGATAAGAACATCCCCCCTCCTTTCTCTCAGTCCTGTGGTAACTGTCAATTAGCATCAATACTACATGTCTATATATACCAGTCATTCTGAATTACCACATAACTTTATATTCACCTTACCTCACATGCACTCTACCCTTCCCTGTGCATCTAGGTCAAGGTCATCAGCGACGAGCCCCAGGTATGGTACGGGTCGGCTCGGCCGAGTCTCTCATCAGTCGTTCCAAACCTAACATTCCCCCACTACAGCTGCATGGAAACAAAGGGAGTATGTATCTGTAGTATAATAATATTAGTGTGTTTATAGGCATAGTCTCATTTACTTAACTTTTGTATACTGTGTTGATATGTATTTCTATATCAAGTCCCACTATGTATATACTAATACATTTTTTACTTCTGTTTGGGATGAAAAATGGTTCAGTTAAAAAATAAAATAATAAAAACTTTAAAAAGAATAAAATATTGCAAGTCTAACAGTGTCTTCCTTGCCTTAATTAAAGTCAAAGAAAGAGATTGGAATTAGAAATTTGTGGGAGAAAAAAATAGAGTGTTATTTGAACTGCTCTGCATGCATTTTTAAAAAAGAGAAGAAGATATGTATTTAGGGAAATGTTTCTGGAGAAACTGAATTATAACAGTTACTACATTATAAACATACTCCAAGTAGAATTCAATGTTTATGAACCGTCATATCCTTGATAAATCGTTATCCAAAACTGTATTAACAAAATTTCATATGAATTAGTGCAATTAAAATTAAGATTTGAATTAAGGATGAAGGGAGGAAAGTAAATAGTGTATAGTTTAATTAAGTTGGCATGTATGAAAAATTAGGACAGCTTGTTAAGATCCTTTAAGATCAAATGAAGTGATCTAGAGGTTGATGATTTTTCTGATGCATTGATGTAAAATGGATGCAAATTTCTAGCACTGATTCTGACCAAGATGCATGAGAATTTGTGATACCTGGGACATATGTGTTAGAAATAAATTACTCTTATCTGTTATTGTATTAGGTAATTTAGGCTTATCAGAAATATTTCTAATCTATAGAATTTGAATATCAGGTATAACATATAATGCTAGCTGGTATGGAGTTCTACACATGTGTAGTATTATTTCATATACAAAGATCATAAGATGCTTCTTTTGTTACCATTGGAAACAATTAATTCTACCTGGTATTTAACAGCTGGTGAGAAAGTGACATCAAGCTCTAATCTGAAGCGGTGCAGTTCCCTTGAGAACCTGACTATGACTGGGCCAGGCGACCATGACGACAGTGGTGAGATAGCAGACAGCGATGATGATGACCCTAGTCAGGAGGAGGATGCTCCGGTAGTACCTCGATCCATGATTGCGAGGGGACGGGGTACAAATGACAGTTTTAGGGCTGCAGTCGACAGGTCCTATGATCCTGTGGAACATTCCACTATGGAAACACGTAAGTATATTGTGAATTGGTCTAGGGAAATTAGGAGTGTAGTAAGTGTACAGATCAGGTTATATAAACTAAACACAATCGTCCAATGTCACATGTGAGAGGTCACAGATTCTATTTGTAAAAAGGTATCAAACAATGATTTTGATATGTATGGGAGGAGGGGCACACGTCTTGCAGACATTTTCTGGTGGTAGACATGTTATACTTTGAGATGTTTGTTTGATAGCCACTCCAGTGTGTGTCCTGAACCTAGCTAGCCACAATTTGAAGGTTATTACCTGTGTGTGAAATAAAAATGCTCCACTGGTTTGTGCCATGTACCTATTATGCATTTTGACTTCTGTTAATTACAATTCTTTTAGGTTCAAGCGTCCATTATATTGCAACCTTTAACAAATGATTAGTGAGATATTTACTTCCATGAAGACAAGACTAAATGTCAACCCATATTATTGACCCTTGATCTGTGACCTGTACTGACCTTTATACAATATCCTATCATTTATATAGAGCAGGTATTGGAGATGCATGTTAACTTGGTATCTGGGCATCATGTCTGGTTTCATAATTATTCCATTTGTGGGTGTTCAATTTTTAAACATTATTTTGGAATTCTTTTCAAAAAATTATTTGTCTTTGATCCTGTGACCATGTGTATGTGTACCTGTGATATGTATGTGATACTGAACAGCCTCATTAACACATAATTTTACATATTAAAATTGTATATGATATATATCTATGTAATATTGTACTGTTGTCATCAAATAATGATGAGGTTAACAACACCTAGCCATAACACTACTTATTTCTGTTGACATTGGGATAGCAACAATGCCTTTTGATGATTTCTGTATGAATAAACTATAATTAGAATTTGTTGAATGTTCATAAAAAGTATAAGAGAATTTAAAACACACTTACTGAATAAATTCTTTTTCCCCTTGTTTAAGAGAAATTTCTTTTTTTTTTACGACAATTTTCGACATAAATTACTAAACATCCTCATATATGAAAAAAAATACATTAAGTCTAAAAAGGAACTGATTAAAAAGTGTTTATGTGAACCTTTTAGAGGTTTGAACATATGGTGTCTCTTATAAATGGAAAACCAGCAAAGGTGGCAATTAGCTTACAGGTTTTCACTCATGGTCTCAGACTTAAACAGTTTTATGAACAGGTACAACTTGTTTTCAGAAATAAACACCATAGTGTCTATGTTATCTACATTTGTTAAATCAAATAATATTGACATTATTTGGTGTGTTCACAAAGCAGTGAAGCTTACTGTAAATTCTGACTTTTGTTAATACAATGTGCTAACATTTTCTCTGTGGGGAAAAAGAGAAAAAAACTGAAGGCAGGGTGAAGATTATGGTATCAGTTTCCCAGCATTTCTGTTAATAGTTTCCTACATTTTAGTTGTTTAGATGTCCCTATGAATACATTTGAATTGATAAAATCAAAACACAAGGTTCTATCACAGTTTGTTGACATCTCTATCACAAAACACACTTTGTTTCACATTTTACTCCACTTCATTGTCAACCTTAATTACATATCGTAATCAATTTAGTTTTAGGATCAATCAAGTTAAGTCAAGCATGAGTTGAATAAATTTCTCAAATGAACAAAAGATTTTATTTAAGCTACACTTAAAAGTAAATTCAATTCAGTCAAGTTCCCAAATTTTATTGATTTTATTTTCAAATTGATTTTGTTGAAGGAGTTGTTTACTTTTTATGAGATAAATTTCACTGAAGGATTTAGAATCAGTTTGATAGTGTCACCTGTATTATGATATATCCACTAGCCACTACTGATCCTCTTGTTTTGTAATTGTCTTTGACCATGCAGGGGAAGGTATGTATAGCAATAGGGACGGCTACTATCACGACGGCGGACACAAACCTCTGTCTCCTGAAGGCAGTATGGGGTTCACATATTCGGGATATGGTACTCTCATTATTATATACAGTGCACGGCGTCTGTCTGTCTGGCGGTGTGTTGTAATGTATGCTGTGTCCATCTGTCTGTCCAGATGTCTTACTAATTGGACACACTGCTTTGGACCAGTGGTTATATTCATGATGGCAGCATCTTGTTGCGTCCAATCTGAGCTGAGTAGAAGTCTGTGTCAGGATTGATCTGTCTGTTAGCAAATCATCCACATATCTAAACTGTGAAAACATGAACATTTTTTATTAAAGAAAAAAAAGAAAAGTTCATGTCCTTTTAAAGAAGGTCAATAACCAAAGCTAGTTGTACCTTTATTTTATTGAGTTTCAATTAGTTCAATTCTTTGATTTGATTGCTGGCCACTGAATGTCTAATGGCAATGATTAATGGACAACTTTCAGATATTTCAATTCAGTAATTTGATTGATTGACAGTGGGTGCTAACAGTCAGTTCTGATGCCCCTAACATGGAACTCTAGCGTTGTTAATATATGTACTGACAACAAGTTATGTTTGTGTGTAATCCTATAGATATTCAGTACTACAAGTAGACTTGAGATTTTGCGTACTTGTACCTGTATATTCCATAGGGATACACCTGTCCAAAGTTAACTGGCACAAGTTTACTTTTTCACAAAGAAAATCTAACACTGAATTGTTTCTTAAATTGTAATTAGATTTGTTTCTTTTGAGTTTCTTTTAGTTTAACTAATTCTAACAGTTAAATTATAACTTGAAATGTTTACTGTAATATATTTCATAAAATGAAAGTATCTGTTTTCAGTCTGATGATTTCACTGACATGCCTTAACACAGAATACTAAATTCTCTGTGATATTGTGCCATTTATCTCACAAGTTGATAAAAATGCAAGATTGAAGAGGTCCTACTGTATCTTCATATACAATAATAATCAGGAAGCTTGTATATCTAGTTGTAAAAAGGATCCTTGCTTTGATATATAATCAGGCTACTGCTGTATTATTTTGCAGATTTATAAGTCACATTAGGATCCATTAAATATAGATATGCTAAATATAAGATGTCAGCATTTCTTTTAATGACATTATAATGAAAATAACAAATTTTGGATTTTTGAATATTTTTAATTGGTTAATTTTTAAAGTTATTTGTTTGTTGTTTTGTAATAACTAATTAAAAATTCAGTTGATTAACAAACTTTAATCAAATTTAAATCCAATTTCATCAAAAACAGTCCTCAATACAGTAACACTGTTAGTTGTGCATTTAGTGAGATTTAAGTCCATTTTCAATTTCTTTACAAATATTGCCTATAAAATTAAAATGTTTTTTAGATGTTGTTAAGGCATAATAACATTTCCAGTTAATCTAGAAATTTCATGTAGAAACATTCAGTTGGCGCTTACATGTATTTATATTAACAAAAATTAATCTTGCATTTTATCCTTAGAAAAGAAACTAAAACTTGTTTTCAGTATCGCAAGTCTTACATTTTGAAAAGTACAAAAACCAACCTCCGTAGTGATATACTTGGTAATAATTCATTACTGTGATAAGTTGCGGATGCTGACAGAGATGTTGTGTTAAACCCTGCATGATTGATGTTGTTACAGTCAGTGCTCCCCAGCACCAAGCATGGGTACTTCTGTCTCTATGGTAGACAACACGAATGAAATCTGGTCTAATCATATTGGATATCATGTCCTGACCTTAGGATTTTCTGGTGTTATCATAGAGGATACTATGTCCTGATCTTAGGATTTTCTGGTGTTATCATAGAGGATACTATGTCCTGACATTAGGATTTTCTGGTGTTATCATAGAGGATACTATGTCCTGATGTTAGGATTTCTGGTGTTATCATAGAGGATACTATGTCCTGATGTTAGGATTTCTGGTGTTATGATGAAGTATGTTATGTCCTGATGTTAGGATTTCTGGTGTTATGATGAAGTATGTTATGTCCTGATGTTAGGATTTCTGGTGTTATGATGAAGTATGTTATGTCCTGATGTTAGGATTTCTGGTGTTATGATGAAGTATGATATGTCCTGATGTTAGGATTTCTGGTGTTATGATGAAGTGTTATAACCTGATGTTAGGATTTCTGGTGTTATGATGAAGTATGTTATAACCTGATGTTAGGATTTGTTGTGTTATGATGAAGTATGTTATGCCCTGATGTTAGGATTTCTGGTGTTATGATGAAGTATGTTATAACCTGATGTTAGGATTTCTGGTGTTATGATGAAGTATGTTATGTCCTGATGTTAGGATTTCTGGTGTTATGATGAAGTATGTTATAACCTGATGTTAGGATTTCTGGTGTTATGATGAATTATGTTATGTCCTGATGTTAGGATTTCTGGTGTTATGATGAAGTATGTTATGTTCTGATGTTAGGATTTGTTGTGTTATGATGAAGTATGTTATGCCCTGATGTTAGGATTTCTGGTGTTATGATGAAGTATGTTATAACCTGAAGTTAGGATTTGTTGTGTTATGATAAAGTATGTTATGTTCTGATGTTAGGATTTCTGGTGTTATGATGAAGTATGTTATAACCTGATGTTAGGATTTCTGGTGTTATGATGAAGAATGTTATAACCTGATGGTGGAATTTCTGGTGTTATGATGAATTATGTTATGTCCTGATGTTAGGATTTCTGGTGTTATGATGAAGTATGTTATGTCCTGATGTTAGGATTTCTGGTGTTATGATGAAGTACGTTATAACCTGATGGTGGAATTTCTGGTGTTATGATGAAGTATGTTATGTCCTGATGTTAGGATTTCTGGTGTTATGATGAAGAATGTTATAACCTGATGGTGGAATTTCTGGTGTTATGATGAATTATGTTATGTCCTGATGTTAGGATTTCTGGTGTTATGATGAAGTATGTTATGTCCTGATGTTAGGATTTCTGGTGTTATGATGAAGTACGTTATAACCTGATGGTGGAATTTCTGGTGTTATGATGAAGTATGTTATGTCCTGATGTTAGGATTTCTGGTGTTATGATGAAGTATGTTATGTCCTGATGTTAGGATTACTGGTGTTATGATGAAGAATGTTATAACCTGATGGTGGAATTTCTGATGTTATGAGAAACGTTATTCAGCTCTGCATGATTTGAAGTTTTTCAGCTGATGTATGAAAGTTTAAAAAAAAAGTAAGATTAATGATTGTTTTGTTAAAGACTCTGAATGGTAAAGAGAATTGACACCATTAATTCCTGTTTAGAATTTTTCCATTTTTTCAAGATAGTTATAGCTCATACATAATTCTGTTTTGATTTTTAGCTCACTGGTTACAAGTAACCTTGTTTTGATGCTGTCCCATCCCAAAACTTTAAGTTTTAGGGGTTAATTTTTGAAAGGCTTCTAAATCAATATTAAGTATACATCCCAAATCTGCCTTATTTGTTATAATCATAGCAGTGAAAGGTTGCTACTATAGCAGTATAAAGCTGATTTGTTAATGACTTTTTTACCTCAACACTCATTTCAAAGTTTTTGGGGTATGTTTTTGAAAGGCCTCTAAGTTTAGTAGTATTTCAGTCTATAAATTTACATCTTACACCCCTTCTATTGTCTACAATAAGTAAGCATTTTGTAATGGTTGATATTAGTAAGCTTTTCAATCAGTGATTGTTCTTGTGAAGTAAAAACTTCAACACATTATTGTCAACATTGATGACTTTTAGTTGTTAGATGACCTTTTATCAAACTACATAATATTAAAGAGATTGTACTAGACAAATAAGTAAGTAGCTTCATACAGCGGTCTCAACCTTTTAGGATGCGTCAGTGATGTTAAGGGCCTTAATAAATTGAAACCTGGGAGATGGCCGAGGAAAATCAAAATTGATTGAAAGAAATGTCAAATTCTATGAAGGGGAGGTGCACAAAGTACTTGACACTTACACACATGTACTGGTTTATATTTGATTATTTTCTTGTTTTCACTGGATTCAGAACACTTCCCTTCTGGTGTTAGATATTTTCAGTTGCTATGCAAACTAGCTTTAATGTGTATCCAGGGGATACCATACATGTATACAGTGCTATGAGGATCAATTTGATTCATATACTAAAATCAGTGCATGCAGTAGTTGGTAATGGGTGAATTTGTGCAATCTTATCATTTGTTTAGGCATTATTCTTCCATTTGAATTTTTTTTACCAACAAATTGTGCATGCTTTTGATAATTAATTGATTTTAAACTGTGATTTGCATGACTCTGTGTTAGTTATTAAAATGTTGCCCACCCTGTTGTGTTTAGAATAATATATTGAATAACTAATGTGATAGACACCTGATTGATTTGCATGTCTGTGTTGTGTTGAATTTTGTTTGATTTGAAAATAAGAAGTTGATATTGGAGATAATATCTAAATGTCCTTCTGCATGTTACATAATGACTAGAGATTTGTAGTGTTAATATCTTCTACTCAGTATTTTAATGAATTTTAATTTTAATTTTAATGAAAACAAAAAACAAAAAGCAAAAATGAAACAATGTTATGGTTCCTCTATGTTTACACCAGAAAGTTAATATTGTGGATGCTATTGTTAAAAAAGGAAATAATCTTGTTTTCTTCAGTTGAATTTATTTATTCAATTAATGATTTTTAAAATGTTACATAGTTCAAAATTTTCAATTAAGATGGGAAAAAAATCATTCTTTATTGTGGTGTTTAAAATTTTATTTCCTGGAGATCATTACATCTTTCCAGATTTTTAGAAACATTTTTATATTTTGATTTAAAAGGAATCTTGTCTACAGCTAAATTGAAAAAGAAAGGATTTTTAACACCAGAAGATAATGGTGTTGAGATTTTTAGAAAAATGTGTTAAATTGTTGAGAGTGGTGTGTCTTGCTATTTGAAATCTTGATGTCTTTCTTTGTTTTTCAGTTGAAGAAGAGAGTAGTGGAGAGTTCTCAGGGAGAACAAACTCAGCTAGATCGTCAGTGAGCAGTGAGGCTACAAGTGATGACAAGAAAGGGGGCAGACGGAAAAATAAGGAAAAAAAGGGAGGAAATATCTTTAAGGGTATTTTCAGGTAAAGAAAATAGAATATAAAAATTGTAAAACTAAATAAAATTAAAATCAGAGGTAAAGTAGAATAATAGAGACAGATTATTTGACTTCTTTTGTGTTATGTTGTGTTGGGTACAGAAATGAAGTTATCATTTTATAAACATGGGTTACAGGCTCGGTCGAAACAAAAAGACTGCTGAAGAAAATAACAAGGCTGATCAGACGGACAAACAGGAGGAAGAAGCAGAGCGACATTTTATTTCGCGGGAGAATAAGCAGCGTGAAACAGAAAAGTAGAGTTTCTTTGTTTATGTCTAGCTTTCAGTAATTATAGCGGATAAAAGGAAACAGCATGTGTTTCCCACTAACGAAAAAATGAACAAATACATTACCTGCAAACTTACCAGGAAACAGTGAAACCTGACATGGTCTTTTATGGTTTTAAATTTTAAGTTGAATTAAAGTATGAACATTTCTAGCATCTATTTATGAAGTTTGAAGATAAGCATATAGTAAAAATAATGAAGATAAGCATATAGTAAAAATAATGAAGATAAGCATTTAGTAAAAATAATGAAGATAAGCATATATTAAAAATAATGAGCATTATTTCCATGTGACCCTTTACACTATCATATTTATAAGCACTTCAGAGACCTCTGTGAATGTCCATGTTAAACATTATATTAGTGTTTTAATGTTGGTACTGGAAGTATTACGTTAAATTATGATTGGCCTGGTTGCTATTTCTTTATTTTCCACAATTATTGTGGATGTGCAAATTCATCATGAGGCTGCTTTGCCAAGTAGTTAATTAGCAACAGGATGACATTGTATCTTGTTTTCTAGATGTTTATGTTGGTGTGTCATTTTGTCATTAAATTTTTTTTCGTAGCAATATGGGTCAACGATGGACATCAGTACCTGACACACACCAGACTTTCCCAGTCTCTCTTCCACAACAGCCCTCGTCTACCTCCTTAGATGGTGAACAGATCACTCGTGGAGCCACACCCAACAATATGTCACGTGCTGAGTGGATCCAACACTTGCGTATGGAACATCAACGAAAACACAAGGAGCGTCAGGGACGTTACCCGCTTGATGATCGTGAGGAAGGGTACGAACGGGAGTTACAGGCAAAAGAGGAACAACAGGTAGTACAACCCATGTACAGGCCAGACAGACCACACTCAGTAAGGACTGTGTAGAAATAGTAGTGATGTGGGGGTGTGGTGTCATAGTAGTGATGCGGGGTGTAGTGTCATAGTAGTGATGCGGGGGTGTTTTGTCATGATGGTGATAGTGCAGAGGTGTGGTTGGAATGATGTGGTGTTGTGGTGTCATGATGGTGATAGTGCAGGGGTGTGGTTGGAATAATGTGGGGGTATGATTGGGATGGGTTGTGTTGGTGATATGGGGTCATGATGGTGGTGGTGTTGGATTGTGGTAGTGATGTGGGGTTATGATGGTGATGATGATGTATAGGTATGGTGGTGATGTGGTATGGTGATCGTAATAGTGATGTGGAGTTGTGAAGGTGATGGGATTGATATATTGTGTATTATTGGAAGTTATGCAGAATTTGGATGTTATGAAGTGGTTGTGGTGTTGTGAACTTGTTGTGTCATGATATTATGTAGTGATTGTGTTTTGGGACTGTTATAGTATGTAGTGGTTGTGTTGTGGGACTATTACAGTATGTTGTGGTTGTGTTGTGGGACTGTTACAGTATGTAGTGATTGTGTTGTGGGACTGTTACAGTATGTAGTAATTGTGTTGTGGGACTGTTACAGTATGTAGTGATTGTGTTGTGGGACTGTTACAGTATGTAGTGATTGTGTTGTGGGACTGTTACAGTATGTAGTGATTGTGTTGTGGGACTGTTATAGTATGTAGTGATTGTGTTGTGGGACTGTTACAGTATGTAGTGATTGTGTTGTGGGACTGTTATAGTATGTAGTGATTGTGTTGTGGGACTGTTATAGTATGTAGTGGTTGTGTTGTGGGACTGTTATAGTATGTAGTGATTGTGTTGTGGGACTGTTATAGTATGTAGTGGTTGTGTTGTGGGACTGTTATAGTATGTAGTGATTGTGTTGTGGGACTGTTACAGTATGTAGTGATTGTGTTGTGGGACTGTTACAGTATGTAGTGGTTGTGTTGTGGGACTGATACAGGATACAGTATGTAGTGATTGTGTTGTGGGACTGTTATAGTATGTAGTGATTGTGTTGTGGGACTGTTACAGTATGTAGTGATTGTGTTGTGGGACTGTTATAGTATGTAGTGATTGTGTTGTGGGACTGTTATAGTATGTAGTGGTTGTGTTGTGGGACTGTTATAGTATGTAGTGATTGTGTTGTGGGACTGTTATAGTATGTAGTGGTTGTGTTGTGGGACTGTTATAGTATGTAGTGATTGTGTTGTGGGACTGTTACAGTATGTAGTGATTGTGTTGTGGGACTGTTACAGTATGTAGTGGTTGTGTTGTGGGACTGATACAGGATACAGTATGTAGTGATTGTGTTGTGGGACTGTTATAGTATGTAGTGATTGTGTTGTGGGACTGTTACAGTATGTAGTGATTGTGTTGTGGGACTGTTATAGTATGTAGTGATTGTGTTGTGGGACTGTTATAGTATGTAGTGATTGTGTTGTGGGACTGTTATAGTATGTAGTGGTTGTGTTGTGGGACTGTTATAGTATGTAGTGATTGTGTTGTGGGACTGTTACAGTATGTAGTGATTGTGTTGTGGGACTGTTACAGTATGTAGTGGTTGTGTTGTGGGACTGATACAGGATACAGTATGTAGTGATTGTGTTGTGGGACTGTTACAGTATGTAGTGATTGTGTTGTGGGACTGATACAGGATACAGTATGTAGTGATTGTGTTGTGGGACTGTTATAGTATGTAGTGATTGTGTGTGTTGTGGGACTGTTATAGTATGTAGTGATTGTGTGTGTTGTGGGACTGTTACAGTATGTAGTGATTGTATTGTGGGACTGTTACAGTATGTAGTGATTGTGTTGTGGGACTGTTACAGTATGTAGTGATTGTGTGTGTTGTGGGACTGTTACAGTATGTAGTGATTGTGTTGTGGGACTGTTACAGTATGTAGTGGTTGTGTGTGTTGTGGGACTGTTACAGTATGTAGTGATTGTGTGTGTTGTGGGACTGTTACAGTATGTAGTGATTGTGTTGTAGGACTGTTATAGTATGTAGTGATTGTGTTGTGGGACTGTTACAGGATGTAATGGTTGTGTTGTGGGACTGTTATAGTATGTAGTGGTTGTGTTGTGGGATTGAAATATTTTGAGATTGAAATATTGTAAGCTGGTAGTGATGTGGGATTGTTATGATATTGTGTTGTTAACAAGTAGTGATGTGGGATTGTTATGATATTGTGTTGTTAACAAGTAGTGATGTGGGATTGTTATGATATTGTGTTGTGATGTTAACTGGTAGTGATGTGTGATTGTTATGATATTGTGTTGTTAACTGGTAGTGATGTGGGATTGTTATGATATTGTGTTGTTAACTGGTAGTGATGTGGGATTGTTATGATATTGTGTTGTGGTGTTAACAGGTAGTGATGTGGGATTGTTATGATATTGTGTTGTTAACAGGTAGTGATGTGGGATTGTTATGATATTGTGTTGTTAACAGGTAGTGATGTGGGATTGTTGTGATATTGTGATATTAACTGGAAGTGATGTGGGATTGTTATGATATTGTGATGTTAACTTGTAGTGATGTGGGATTGTTATATTGTGTTGTTAACTGGTAGTGATGTGGGATTGTTATGATATTGTGATGTTAACTTGTAGTGATGTGGGATTGTTATGATATTGTGTTGTTAACTGGTAGTGATGTGGGATTGTTATGATATTGTGGTGTTAACTGGTAGTGATGTGGGATTGTTATGATATTGTGTTGTTAACTGGAAGTGATGTGGGATTGTTATGATATTGTGTTGTTAACAGGTAGTGATGTGGGATTGTTATGATATTGTGTTGTTAACTGGAAGTGATGTGGGATTGTTATGATATTGTGTTGTTAACAGGAAGTGATGTGGGATTGTTATGATATTGTGTTGTTAACTGGTAGTGATGTGGGATTGTTATGATATTGTGTTGTTAACTGGTAGTGATGTGGGATTGTTATGATATTGTGATGTTAACTTGTAGTGATGTGGGATTGTTATGATATTGTGTTGTGTTGTTTACTGGTAGTGACGAGCGGGCGGACAGGTGGATGGGGAAAAGGTGTACCAGTTTTGTAGAATTAATTCCTCCTAGAGTTTTTGATGTAGAAGCTTAAAACTTTGTAGGATGTTTATGTATACATGTATGTTGAAGATGTGCACCTCCTGTTATGGATTTATTCTGGACATTTTTCTGCATTTTCCAGGCTTTTGAACTTAGTAATTTTCTGCATATAAATCACCATGGTCTATTTTTTGAACATCTCCAAATCAAAAATGGCTGCAACGTCTTTCTTCAATTTCCCTTCTGCACCAATTCATAAAATACAAACAAACTTTCTCTCTTATAACAAATTTTCTACATACTCAACAAATGAAACACCCTTAACTGTCTTATAAATACCATAAAACATTGTACTCATCCTGCAACCGGACCAATTGTGGCTTTACCCCATTTTCATCTATATATCTATATATGAATCCATCTATTTGTCTGAAGACTATGTAAGCATAAATATTTCAACACTAGATGATTGTTGTAACTTGTACAATACAATTTAATTGATGTAAAATGTCAATGAAGAGATTGAGAAATTGACAGTGTTTGCTCAGGTTGTGATCCCAGGACCAAGGATTTTTACTGCTACATCAAATATATATGATGATTTGATAATTACTCTCAGAGTTATGACTGGTTAAAAGTATGAATTACTGCTAACTAATCAACGATTTTCAAAAATTAAAATAGTTAATTGAAAACAAGCTTGGAATGTAATCATTGCCTACAAAGCAATGACATTTATATCATCAATTAACATCATATCAATACAATTAAATGCTTAAAAAAGTGAAGTTCTCTTTCCTCTTAAGACTGATTGGTTGAGATTTCTGAACATAAATCTGTACAGTTAGTACAGATACATTTCATTTCTACACTACATGGCTAAAGGTGAAATATGGATGGGTTTTGTGCTATATTTCCTAATGATGTTTGATTTCAGAGGCTTGCAGAAGAAGGATACAGATATGAAAGTCAAACAAGGTCAACATCAAGTGAAGGTTATTCATATGAAGGTCAAGGTCATCCAAGGTCACGGTCAAGTTCTAGACAACAACAGTATGAAAGGTATCTTTGATTAACATGTGATATTGACCAGTAATTCTGCACTTTGATATGAAATTATACATTGACAAAGACATTTTTTCTACTGAAATGAAACAATTAACAGAAGAAAATGTTGATTCTGTGAAATAGAACTGTATGATGAGGGGGAGATTATTTTACTAACCACTAACTTTTTAATAAACTTATTATGAACCTTCATGTGAAGGTCAAATACCAAAATCAGTTCACTTTTGACTATTTGAAGGTTATTTTTCCACTAGCTTTAGGGCATAGGAGATTATTGAATATGTAACCTGAGGCTTAGGACAGAGCTACCCGAGAAATGGATTCTTTACTGTCTAACCCAAGGTTTTGTTTAGGGCTAAACATTCACGTATCTCAGACGGTAGATTTCTCTGTCTTTAAGTTTAGGAACGATTCTTTTTCTGTCCGATTTTCCCATAAACTTATAATCAGTCATTACAAGTAAGAGGGGATTGTGTCACCATGTTATATTGTTGGTTAATTTCTCATATACAAATGCAGTCAAGATGGTGATTATACATTATGTCAGTGACAGTAACTCACCCTGGTGTGTTATGAACAAACTTACAATGTCACTTTCAGTTTAGATATTAATGTTTTGTGTATGCTGGTTAACTTTCCCCTGAAGGATAGTGATATCTTACCCATACCAGAAGTGTGGATATTTATGTCTGATGGGTATAAAGATGTATCCACTTTCACCGATGTCATACTTCCTGTCTTATTCTAGGTTGGAAACAAGGTGTTCCCTCTCATCTACTGCATGTATACATATGTCAATAATAACAATGTACAGGACAAATAGATTTTTACAAGTTATGATAATAAGCCAACTTTTCTAACAGATTTAAAACAATTTACGTTCACCTCCCGTTTTAGTCAGTGATGCTATATTGGTTTCCAGACATTCCAGAATACATACAGTCATATATACCTTTTACATTTGTGAAGGATTGCAGAATTATTTTGCAATGTGAAAAATAGAAACATTTTTGTTTGATTTTCAATTTAATATCATGAAAGTGATTAAATTTTGTTTTTTTTATTTACAGGCAGCCACCACCACAACCTCACAGCTACACAGATTACATGTACCAGAGTGCTCCCCCAAACATTCCATATCAGCCCCCTGCACCTTGGCCCCATCCAGGCCGAGATAATCCGTCTCTTCAGCATAATTATCCCCACATGCGTCAAAACAGTGATACTTACTCAGACCAGAACCGAGATAACTTTGTGCGGCGTCCCCTTTCTCGCAGTCATACACCTGTAGAACATTGGCGTGACGACCAATTGAGTTACCATCGGAAACCATTGTACCCGCCCACTGAGGTACACCCAAGGGAAAATAGTTATACTTATAATGATACAGTCTACACATACAGAGAACCTTTATACCCACCAGTAGCAGGCAAAAGACAAGTACATACAATCACGCAGCCAGGCTCAGCTAAAGTATGAACATCACACAGCCAGACTCAGCTAAAGTATGACCATAACATGGTCAGGCTTGGCTGAAGTATGACCATAACACGGCCAAGCTCAGCTAAAGTATGACCATCACACGGTTGGGGTCAGCTGACAAATGACCGTCACACATCCCATGTCAGCGTTATGACTACCACAAAGTGGGGATCGCATGTAATGGCTGCTCATGATTATGATGTATTGGGCACTTGAAATGCTGTGAAATCGATGGGGCCCCGAGTTTTACTCCAACGAAGTGCTTTCTGTTATCCTTGGTGCTCAGTGTTGAACAACAAAGGAAAAAAATTGACCCACGTATTACCTTGTCAACCGAGTGTGTTCTCTATTTCTGTTTGTTCAGCAGAGATATGGTCCATGTTTTGTTACATTGTCTTTGTGTGCTCTTCATGTCTGATCAAATCGGCCAAAATATGTGATGTTGAAAATTTTACCAGGTATTGCTTAATTACAAAGTTTACACCTGAATAAACAAAGGTAACTGTACGTGTCAGTGCTGGATTGTAGCTGGACATCGTGTCAGTGCTGGATTGTAGCTGGACATCGTGTCAGTGCTGGATTGTAGCTGGACATCGTGTCAGTGCTGGATTGTAGCTGGACATCATGTGTATTTGATGATCTGAATGCATTAAGAATAGTGTATGGCAGATTGCCAGTCGATACAAATGTTGACATAAAAAATTCAACAGTGATTCCATAATCGTTGGAAATGTTAGAGTTGTGATATGTATATGTCTAAGTCTTAATTACATAGGGTTATAACGACTCCCATAATAGTACACTAAATACGGTGACACAGTTATCAAAGGGTACTTCCTTGTAGAAAACAATAGATAATTTGTCGACATTTAAGACTTCTCAATTGCATACCTTTCCCACATTTTTATCCTTTTTTATATGTTACATGACAATGACCTGCCATGATCACCAAAAAATCAATATGGCCTGTGTGTGTTGATTAAATGTGACTACTGATCAGGCTACACTTGTGCCTGATAACATTAATTGTGTGGAGACCTGTTCTCATTACAGAACCTCAAACACTAACCTCATCTCTCCAAGTACTTAAAACATGGCAGTGATACCATGAAATTCTACAGCCACTTTTAGAAAAATTTTGAGTGCATGTTATAAAGTTACTTTTTAAAACAGGATATTTTATAACTTTCACAGTCATTCCGAAGTACACTATCCTCAAAAGACAAAGAGTTTTGTTAATTATCTCCCCTGATATGCTTTAGGTCAGATATGTACCAATGGTCAGAGATATATACCAATCAAAGTACAGAAATATCAATGGAGCTGTCCTGTTCTTGACCCCTCAAATAAAACACTATGAAAGTAAAGTTTATGTATACAGTAGGTAGTTTTCTGTTATACAACACATGTTTGGTCTGTAAATGTTGATAAACCAGTGTCTTTCAGTTTGTACACTTTGTAAATGTTTTGTATGAGAGAGAATAATGTTGTATATACAATGTGTTTAGTACATGCTTGCTGGTACATTGTGTGCTGCATATCTCTCTTGTGTTCTATTTTAAACAAGTCTATTATAAGATACTTTCACGTTTGGATTTCATGGGACCGGCTATAAAGTGGATTTTTTTTCACAATATTTTCTCAAGTATTTCTCAACTCTTAACTTTAGCTAGAAATGTTTCAAGAAACATATGAATATGAACAAAAGTAGTGTTGTGATAACTAAATATGTTTAGGTTATCCATGAATTTTATATCTGATGCAAACTACATTTGATGTATGCCTGTGTTGAAAATACTTAAATTATTGGGCCATTATGTATGTTTAATATATGCAGTAATACAATTTCATTCTGGGTTTCAAATTGTGTTGTATTTCTGCATTGTCTTGATGTTGGATGTTTAGTACAGAACAAAAATCAAATTTGGGGAATTTCACAAAAAATGGCTCATTTGACAGAACATAGGTTGTGTCCTTTACTCTTAAACAAAACTCATGTCAGCTTTCATGTTTCAAATGAGATGTATTCGTTAAATCTGTATATTTCATATATTAACTTTTGCATAATTTATCTTCAAACCAGGTGAATGTGAAAAGGTGCTAAAATCCAATAGTAGCAAAGGATAGAGGCCTATATACCTGGTATATATATCGGCCTCTGTGGGTGTTATATACAGTAGTGTTTGCAGTACTTGTCGTAGGTGTTTTGCTCATTCTGTTTCTCATTAGTCTCGCCTGTTGTCCAGAGGATTTAACATTTTTAGGTTTTATTTGTGAAGAGATAAATCACTTGTAGAATATGTCAAAATTTATTTGCCAGGATTTCAATAAAGTGGTAAATATCCTGAATATCCAGAGACTGTTGTGAAGGCATTATTTTTATTCAGTATTATACATCTCCACAAAGAACAAAGCGCCAGTAATATTTTGATGTAACAAAATTTCAACGTTAGAAATCACTGTTTGGAATTTTTTTATTTCTATGTTGTTTAAAATGAAATTGTTTGATATAATGCATGTAATGACATGGTTGTGGAAGTCGTATTTTAACTCTAATAATTCATTACTTTTATGTTCATTGGTTTTGTTGATATTGTTATGCCTCACACCTAAATGAAATTGAAGATATATATATGTCTGAAAATTTAAACGTCTTTCTGTTAATTCATATAATGCAAGTTGTGTGCTTAATGAAATCCTATTGGTAAGAGACTCAGTTATTTCATTGCCCAATTATCTGTTTTGTATTTAATTCAATACCAGTAAATATAGGGAAAGTCAAATCTATAATTATACTACGGCTTAAAAAATCTAGATATGGTTTAAAATACTCTAAATTAAGCAAAGTCATTTTTTTATCAGATTTTGTTTAAAAGAAACTGGTTCACTTTAAAAATGTATAGGGTAAAGGACCCTAATGCTTCTAAGTGTAAATCTGGTTATAACAAATACTGTGTAACTTCATGCTAAAGCCTTTTATATGAGCTGATGACTAGTCTGTTAATAGGGATTTAATACTAGAAAAAGGGTCAATTTTGCAAATTTTTAAATTCTATGTTAATGGCATAGTTTGAGCTAACAATTGGACACATTGCAAGCATTAAAAAACTACAAAAATTGGATAAAAAAACAATACAAACTGAAACTTAAGATATATTTATTTTTCAGTTAATAAAGTTTCAGACTTAATATTTGCAATACATACCAATAATACTTAATTAGATGAAGAAAGGTGATCAATATAAATATATTAGTACAGTCAGGTCAAGTTTTGTGGCATTGGTATAGGTTTTCATTATTTACTTGGTCAAGTTATATCATTTTTCAATTGTACTATTTATGAGGAAGAAAATGTTACATTAAAGGATACATACATTTTTTTGATACATTTAAAACAGTGCTAGTAGTGATGTATTCATAACATTCCATTAATAGGTACTCTGCTTTTGTATTTTGTTTTCTTTGATTAACTAATGGAAGAAACTACGAATTTAATTTCAACTTTCACCGTTTAGTGAATGGCAAGAATGAATGGTGTAAATTTATTTAGCCAAAAAGTTACCAGAGAAACTATGTGACTTGGAGAGAAGTTTTCGCTTTTGACTCTGATTAATCCCTTTATTTCGAATATACTTAACCTGGAATTATTTGAGAATAAGATACACTAATGGTATGCTTATTCTTTAACTGTTATTCTATAGAGTTAGCTCCCTTTAGATTCCTATTGTTTGTGCTGTATGCCAGGTCTGCTTGCCAACAGAAGTTACTAGTACATGTATTTGTTTCAGATGACACCAGTGTAAAGACACCATTATACCTTTCCTGAGTGATGTCTTCATGTTAATTCAAGGAAGATCTGAAACAGTGAAATAAGTTCATTAACATAATTAACTATCATTTCAATTTTCTTTTCAAAAATCTTTCTTTGTTATACATTACTCACCTATGGGCTGCCTTTGTTGTGTTGCAATTTTCCTGTCTCTTGTAACCAGTTAAGATTCTTGGCAATCTGCCATAATTGGTCATATATTAAGGAAACACTGACCAGCCATCGTACTGCCTTTACTTGCCACTGGCATAACCAACACATGATTTTAAACTTGATCACGAAAATTTGGATTGACTGGTTTCACTGGTTCGGACAGAAGACATAATCTAAGATAACAGTGAAGTTAGTATACTATCTCAATGACCATGGCTGTGACATTCAATACTAGTATCTATGTTAATTTGATAATGGGCAAATGGTAGAGCATTGTTTCATCAACCTTGCTTTCTTCGCCGGAGAATAAGTTTTGTATAATAACTGTCATTGACCGCTGTACGAATTATTGAAATTGATTGATTGTGCAATAGGTAAGAATTTTGTAAATGTTTTCACAAATTAGAAGTGAAAGTGAAAACCTTTATTTCTGTTGATGTGTTTTCTTGTGGTCAAAGATTTAAAGTGTTCGCATTGTATTAATGAGTTAGTTACATATTTTCAGCCAAAATTACAAATATATACAAGATCTGTAATTGACCAGCAAGGTAGAATAGATATACGAAAATGATAGTTTAGAATTAATTGAAAAGTCTTATGCTATTTAATTATATTTTTGTATTTGATTTGTTAAATAATCAACATCCATAAAAAATATTGGCAGTAATTCATTTGGGATTTTTGCCTACATTCATGCCCCAGAGATTGTTGTGTTAGGTCAGAATGTTTGCTTGTCAGGAAGTTTTCTTTTCTAATGTGCAGACAAGCACTCTCTGTGACCCATTAGTGACATTAATATTACCAGATACTCTACCTAAAGATTCTGGAATCATATGACGAGTGTTGATACCTCACAAATTATGAACATATTCATGTACATTGTAGATAAAATCAAGTTCATTATGTCTTGTCGTTTTTTGTATGTTGACATTGATTTTAATGTAAGATAAATTTGTGATTAATTCTCACCTGTGCCTGTTGTTAACACATTGTCCAGTAAATTATGCAAACTTAGAGTTACGTCCAGTTTCTAATTCTTTTTAAACAGTTCTATTTTTCATACTCTTTAAAATTTGTTGAAACCTTAATTTAGATTGCCAAAGAATACTTTCGTATGAGAGTTTCTTTGTTTATTTTACTTGTGATCTGTGACCTTTTAATTGTATTTTAACAATGAAAATTTTACTTGATAGAAAATTTGTGAGTTTGTTGTATTGTTAATGGTTGTGAGTTTACAGTTCCTTCAACAGTTTACACAGTTCTTCATGCTTCTTCGCTGTTTTTTGTCTCAAGTTTATTGTTGCATAAGGAGTTTACAAAACGCATGTTATCTACGATGTTATACAAGTCAGCATGTGTTTAGCACCTACATCACATACAAATCTGTCCTAAATCTCTGACTGGAGCTTGATACAAAAGGACACTACATAAAAAGTTCCTTTGACTGAAAGAAACATAGAAACAGAAGCTCAATATGAATGAAAGCTTAAATAGTCTATGGAATATCTTATAGAAATCTTGTTTTCATCATCAAATGTCACGCAATGTTGTTTTAAATCCAAATATTGTTTTGGATGTGCTATATCGATGAAAAAAATGAAATTAAGGTTGATAAATTAGAATGGTAAAGTTTGTGACTAAAGTAACTCCGTCATCACATTGTACATTACCGTTCTGTATCTTAACGTAAAACATGATACGTAGAATTCTATTGAACTGCCAAGCACATTTACCTCAATAACAGTATCATTTATCATTCATTGCTTGTAGTTCTATCTGTTCTTGTAACAAAAGGGGGCCAATATTATCATAACAGATGTTCATATCTGGTGATTAGACGACAGAAAAGCAACACCTTTGTGCTATTTGAATTGATTTTTTTTCTGAGCAAGTGTTTTTAATATTATGACAAATAAATTGTTTCCTGTTTTACTTTCTGAGACAATTTTAATTATTAATTGTAGCAATCACCAGTGTTGAGAGAATTATACAGATCCTCAGTGTACCTTATAACATTATTGTGGAATTATCTGTAATCCTGGTCACTATAATTTGGTGCCGATGTTGATGCCACACAGATTGGAATTTCCATCAATGTGACTCATTTTATATTTTTGTATAGCAATATGGAAGTTTGAATAAACTTCACTTACAAACTGTATTCTGTGTTTTTGTGTTATTCCATAAGACCAGACAACTGTTGATAAAATCGAAATGTTCTGTTCAGTATGGGTCATCATCTTCTACATACCAAGGATTAGTAAGAGTTTTAGCCTTTAGTACCACTGATACTGATACAGTAAATGTAGGGTCTTCTTGAGTCTTGTCAATAAGTAAATTGTAGATCCTAGTAAATAGTTGTAAATGCTCATTATAAATTTCATTATGTACATCACAGACGGCTGCCATCGACCATATTTTAGGTTAACTGGACACCGCAGACGATACTTTTATTTTACCGAACTCTATTCTTGTCAGTGGGGTAAGAACATTTTAATTTCAATGCTGCCATAGGGAGTCTTGTATCCAGTACCACATAATCCATCTGTTTAGGGGAAACAGCCAATAAAGCTAGATGGTGGATTCCGAGATCCCATTCAGATCTCAATGTTGTTACATTTGGAGATTGTGAATCACTTTTTGTCGGAAAGCGTTCATTCATCAGTTGTAAACTTTCACTTGTACCAAAACCTCCTCCCCCAGTTTTAAATGAAATTGTGTTTTCCTGAAAGGCAGTTTGATTTGACAGTATGTGGAGAAGATACTGCCTTTTGTGGTTTCCATAATATTAGTCTTGTTTAGAGATGACTCTGTTTTTTAACTTATTTCTTACACACTCAATATAATTAAATCACCATCATATGAATGGATGTTTTCCTTACTTGCATTTTGATATTGCAATTTTTGGAATGAGATATTGACCAAAGTTTTTTTTTCTCCATTCTTTTTATCGTCAAGACGTCACCTCAAGTTTTTAACCAATTTAATAAGACCTTAGTAGACTTTAAAACCACAACATGAGATTGTGAATAAAATTTTGATTTAACAATATTTTAAAATGTTACTAACCCTTTGTTCTTCCCAGTATTTTGATATTGTGAATTTTATTCCATTTTTCACACCAATCTCTTAAAAACTTGATATGTTTTTTAAAATATTATCAAAATTTATGTAGCACTTTTATCCCTCTTGACATTTTGACTTACAATTACCATTTCCATTTTGGTATTCATTCAATGCAACAAATACAGAAAATTTCTTTGGCATGGGACTGGCATGTATTGTTCCTACCCGCAGTGCTTATGTTTTAGTATGTTACCACATGATCACACAATGATGGATGCCAGTATTCCTTCAATCTCTTCCAAATCCCAATTTTACACAAATGCGATAAATTATCATATTATATATACTGACATGATTGCAGAGTAAAGACAAAAAAGCTGAAAGTGGAGTATGGTCATTGGTGGACCTCCCCCAGTGGGGTTACAAGGGGCAGCGCCTGTTCCCAGGGTTCAGTAGACAATTAAGTAAAGTACCCACTAACTGGTGACACTTGTTCTTGTTGCGATTAATTCTCTAACAGTCTTATATTTAATATTTTGTTAATCACCCTGCATACCTTTGGTATCCAAGCTCAAGTGAAGCGCCCCACTGAAGAAACCACTTACCTGATACTGACGTTGGCTCCATTTACTTATTTGAATTATCATATTGAATTATTTTCTGATCATGTACTTATCATTTTAACTTATAATTCGTGGCAATGAATGCATTTGACAATTATAACAAAGCTTTAACTCAATTTTGTCGATGTCAACATTACCAGGTATTCATTAGAATAAAAGTTCCATTTTACTGAAAAATAAAGCAGGTGCAGAATGTCTGTCATAGCTCTATCACACTAGGCAGCTGCTAGCAATTGATAATGATTAGAATTAAAGACAAATTTCACTGTCTGATGGATTTCCTTTTAATGAATCTGACACCAATATTTCATCAGTATGCATGATTAACATGATTAATAATGGTCATTATTTATAGTGAATCAGAGGCATTGCTTTGTGTACAAGTCATAATATTGCCAAATACTTCTTCATCTGAAATTGATTTTGAAATTGTCTCTGATTAAGGTTTACAACTCTTAACAAATATAAATATTTAAGAGTAGTGTTTCTTTCATTTTGTAACCACATTTCATTATTTGAATTTTTTAAAAAAAACCTTGATCACTCTTGGTCTGTTCCCTTATGGAAAGGAAATGCCCATTGTGCATATAAAAGACTAAAAATATAATATGAAAAAAGGTGAGAAAAAACAAAATTTGTAAAAATCACCTATAAATCAATATGGATACAACCTAGGAGACTAACAGTCTAAATATTTGTCATGTAACAAAGGCCAACTCTTGTTCACCTATCACAATAATTAAATAAATCACAAAATTACACTGACATGATGTATCTCAACATTTCAAACATTCAATAATACTTCCAATCTTTGAATGAGATCTATCCTATATACCCTCTCAGCAAATCCCTTTGGAAAATATTTAAAAAACGACAATAAAAAAGATTGCCAAATTCATAATAATATCAATTATAGCTTCAAGTTATGATTTTTTTCAAAAAGAAAATCTAAAATTCCTTAAAACACAATTAAATGACAAAACAATGCAAACCAAAACAATCACAAATTAACAGGAATCATCAATAAGTCATTCTTGAGCCTGGTGGTCAGATTATTTTGTTCTTTGAGCTTCTGAATTATACTCTGGCAGTTTTCTAATCCTTGGATACCTGCAAAATATAAAACACAACATTATGTTAACTAAATACTGACATTACAGAGATTTCAGGTTAAATACCTTGAAGATTTTGCAGAGTTATAAAAAACTGTACTGACTTTGAAGTCATCAGTAAATGACCAATATTCCACTTTCACTAATGCATTATCATGTGCTATAGAAACCCCATATATACATTAAATATCTTATTTGAATATTGTACACAAGAAAATGTTTGTTTCGCTTTAATTTTTGTCCATAGACTGGGAGGGCAAATTTAGGCTGGAGGTTGTTTTAAGTCATTGACGCTACTGTCAATAAAGAAATACCTACTATCCATACAGACATCACATTTGTTGCTTTATTGACTTTTATTTCTGAAGGATTTCCAACTTAGATGTTGTACAAACCAATAACTTGTAAAACTTGTCATCATTGTAACTTTACTAAACATAAACATGGTAAAACATTTCACCTTTGTTACTTTACTAAACATAAACATGGTAAAACATTTCACCTTTGTTACTTTACTAAACATAAACATGGTAAAACATTTCACCTTTGTTACTTTACTAACCTTAAACATGGTAAAACTTTTCACTTCTGTTACTTTACTAACCTTAAAGTTAGTAAACCTTTTGACCTTTGTTGTGCTATTAAACTAATAAACTTAAATAGAACATTTCAATTACTTTATAAACAGCATCGCTGTGCCATTTTTGTATTTTATATAATCTATAGCTACCTTTGTTCCTTTACTTTGTATTGCATAACGAACTGTATTATTACATCACGGCTAAACCGTAATCTTAAGCTTAGCTATGCCGATACTTGTACCGCTGTTCTGATGATGGCTAGTCTAGCTAGCCGAAACATGTCAACCTAACAAAACTACCGATCACAGAATCCTTAGTGTTGATGCTCCTTTCTTTATTAAGTTGTTAGTACCTATCGTCTACAGAGCTCTACTAGAATCCTTCGGATCCACCTAGGATTCTTCTACCGATACATCTACCAACTAGTACCACTCACAGGACATTGGACTCCTCCACCTCTTTTTATTATCCTACTTTGTGCCTCTGTGGAGATCCCCTGCATCCTATATGGATCCGTACAACTCAACAACCTGCGCCATACTACATGGCCACCTCTTCAACAACGAACATTACCAACTTATTCTAGATACCATGTATTGCAATAGAAACATATCCTACGAAAAGAACCAGAATGGATTCCCCTCCGACCCACTCGGAAGAGAACGAGAGCTACCAGTAATGCAGATACCAGCTCCGCCATTCCTGATTAGTCAATGTCACACACTTCCGGTCTTGGAGTCAGTGTAGTAGGCAAACCAAAAGAACGTTGGAATACTTTACTATAGCATGACATGGATGAACTGCTTTTTTTTCACTCACATTTACTTTTCATTATCAACTTTAACTGACACTGCCATCCCAATTACGGCTATCCTAGCGGGTCTCAACGCATCGATGATATTTTCAGAACTTACAATTTACATTTGAAAATTGTTACAGAACATTTCAATTACTTTATAAACAGCATCGCTGTACCACTTTTGTATTTTATATAATCTATAGCTACCTTTGTTCCTTTACTTTGTATAGCGTAACAAACTGTATTATTACGTCACAGCTGAACCGTAATTTTAAGCTTAGCTATGCCGATACTTGTACCGCTGTTCTGATGACGGCTAGTCTAGCTAGGCAAAACATGTCAACCTAATAAATCTACCGATCACGGAATCCTTGGTGTTGATGCTCCTTTCTTTATTTAGTTGTTATAACCCTAAACATGGTAAACCTTTTCACCTCTGTTGTGATACAAACCTTAAACATGGTAAAACTTTTCACCTCTGTTACTTTACTAACCCTAAACATGGTAAAACTTTTCACCTCTGTTGTGATACAAACCTTAAACATGGTAAAACTTTTCACCTCTGTTGTGATACAAACCTTAAACATGGTAAAACTTTTCACCTCTGTTGTGATACAAACCTTAAACATGGTAAAACTTTTCACCTCTGTTGTGATACAAACCTTAAACATGGTAAAACTTTTCACCTCTGTTGTGATACAAACCTTAAACATGGTAAAACTTTTCACCTCTGTTGTGATACAAACCTTAAACATGGTAAAACTTTTCACCTCTGTTGTGATATAAACCTTAAACATGGTAAAACTTTTCACCTCTGTTGTGATACAAACCTTAAACATGGTAAAACTTTTCACCTCTGTTGTGATACAAACCTTAAACATGGTAAAACTTTTCACCTCTGTTGTGATACAAACCTTAAACATGGTAAAACTTTTCACCTCTGTTGTGATACAAACCTTAAACATGGTAAAACTTTTCACCTCTGTTGTGATACAAACCTTAAACATGGTAAAACTTTTCACCTCTGTTGTGATACAAACCTTAAACATGGTAAAACTTTTCACCTCTGTTGTGATACAAACCTTAAACATGGTAAAACTTTTCACCTCTGTTGTGATATAAACCTTAAACATGGTAAAACTTTTCACCTCTGTTGTGATACAAACCTTAAACTTGGTAGAACTTTTCACCTCTGTTGTGATATAAACCTTAAACTTGGTAGAACTTTTCACCTCTGTTGTGATACAAACCTTAAACATGGTAAAACTTTTCACCTCTGTTGTGATACAAACCTTAAACATGGTAAAACTTTTCACCTCTGTTGTGATACAAACCTTAAACTTGGTAGAACTTTTCACCTCTGTTGTGATATAAACCTTAAACTTGGTAGAACTTTTCACCTCTGTTGTGATACAAACCTTAAACATGGTAAAACTTTTCACCTCTGTTGTGATACAAACCTTAAACATGGTAAAACTTTTCACCTCTGTTGTGATACAAACCTTAAACTTGGTAGAACTTTTCACCTCTGTTGTGATATAAACCTTAAACTTGGTAGAACTTTTCACCTCTGTAATTTTGAAGATCTCTAACGACACCAAACTTTACCTTCTAAAACTTTTTAACTTTGTTGCTTTTCAAACTTTTCATATTTGTCTCTTTACTTACCTTTAACTTTCAAGTCTTTTCTACATTATTACTTTACTTACTTTTAACCTTTAAGTCCTTGCACTTTAGCAATATACTGTTTTTCTGCTTCCTCCTTGTCTACCCCTGTAATAGACATACAAATGATAAAGCCAGCTTTAACATCTCTTACACTATATACAAGTAAATTGAAGACTTATGAGGTACTACATGTACAACAGTAAAAGGTATGTAAAATTACTTTTCACAAAACCAAACAAGAATTCCCAGTAGATCTACCTGTTTGTATTGTCTCCTTACTGAAATGACTACCATCATTTATTCTACCGTAAAAAAAAGTTTAAGGAGGTGGGCTTTTTTGGCACATTCACTCCAACTCTAAAATTCAGAGGATGAGTGTGATGTTTTTTTTAATTATTTCCAACAGAAATTTAACAAACCATGCCCCAAAGCGTACTTGTGAGACCCTATAGTCATGCAATGCACAATATGGTAAAGTCCTTTAAGACAAGACCATTTTATCCATGCGTCAAAGTGTACATAATCTGTATCTCCAGGAAAACATTTAAAACTCTGCTAATTTAGTTTTGCCCTTCAGGACCTCAGAATTATCTTAAAACAAGTGATCACAGAGAAACTTTCAGGAGTTCTTCAACATGTTAATGCATTTCTTATCTTACTAAAACACAAAACATAAAAAAACACAACCTTTTCCCAGAAGATCAATCCAGTACTTTTCAGGAAAAGGCAACAAGGCCATTTTCTATTTCTGATCAGTTGTAAAAGTGGACTAAGAACAACTTGAGACCATGGACAATATATAAATGTAAGGTGAGAATATATACAGTATTTTTGAAACATAACAATATCAAATCTTCCCATCACCATCTTTTTGATTTCAGTGATCAGTTTCAAAATGGAGAAAGAAGCAGTAAGGTACAAGGGGATTTTTATATGTATCTTTAGAAACATCCAGTTAATTCTTAGTTAGAAGATCAAGATACTGACAAAATTTTCACTGGACAGATTGATGATGGATGGATACCACATCATGGCATAAACAGCAGTAAGTAAATCTATGATGATTCATATTTTTCCTGTGTTTTATCTATATGGAATTGGTGAATCTGTTCTCAAGGAATGACAAGAACTGGTCTGATGATAAAAGTGGTCTATCTTGAAAATTTAAGAAAATAACCTTTTTTGCATCAGCAACTTTGCCTTTCCATTAAATTCAGGTCTTGCTGAAATAAATAAAACAATAACATTTTTAGACCTGTGAAATATTTAATTTTACAGGTCAAGGTATTTTTGTTTTTTTTTCACAAAGACATGTGTCACAGTTGTTGCTACATGTGTCACAGTAAGTGTTGGAACCTACATGTCAACATGGTCACAGTAAAGTCATGTGTCACAATAAGTGTTGGTACTACAGTCAAAGTTGTTTAACATGTGTCACACACTACATGTGTCACAGTAAATGTTGGTACTACATGTGTCAAGTAAGTGTTGGTACTACATGAATCATTGTAAGTGTTTACTACATGTGTCAAAGTAAATGTTGGTACTACATGTGTCACAGTAAATGTTGGTACTACATGTTCACAGTAAATGTTTTACATGTGTCACATACATGTGTCAAGTAATGTTTTACATGTGTCACAGTAAGTGTTGTACTACATGTGTCACAGTAAGTGTTGGTACTACATGTGTCACAGTAAGTGTTGGTACTACATGTGTCACATTAAGTGTTGGTTACATGTTTCACAGTAAGTGCAGACATCACTAGTACTACATGTGTCACAGTAAGTGTTGGTACTACATGTGTCACAGTAAGTTGGTACTACATGTTGGTACTACATGTGTCACATGAACATGTTCACAGTAATGTTGGTACTACTGTGTCAAATGTTGTCACATAAGTGTTGGTACTACATGTGTCACAGTAAGTGTTGGTACTACATGTGTCACAGTAAGTGTTGGTCTACATGATCAAAAGTGTTGGTCTACATGTGTCACAGAAGTGTTGGACATGAGTCACAGTAAGTGTTGGTACTACATGTGTCAAGTAAGTGTTGTACTACATGTGTCACAGTTGTTGGTACTACATGTGTCAAAGTAAATGTTGGTACTACATGTGTCACAGTAAATGTTGGTACTACATGTGTCACAGTAAGTGTTGGTACTACATGTGTCACAGTAAGTGTTGGTACTACATGTGCCACAGTAAGTGTATGTATTACATGTGTCACAGTAAATGTTGGTACAACATGTGTCAAAGTAAATGTTGGTACTACATGTGTCACAGTAAATGTTGGTATACATGTGTCACAGTAAGTGTTGGTACTACATGTCACAGTAAATGTTGGTACTACATGTGTCACAGTAAATGTTGGTACTACAAGTGTCACATTAAATGTTGGTACTACATGTGTCACAGTAAGTGTTGGTACTATGTGTCACAGTAAGTGTTGGTACTATGTGTCACAGTAAATGTTGGTACTACATGTGTCACAGTAAATGTTGGTACTACATGTGTCACATTAAATGTTGGTACTACATTTGTCACAGTAAGTGTTGGTACTACGTGTCACAGTAAATGTTGGTACTACATGTGTCACAGTAAGTGTTGGTACTACATGTGTCACAATAAGTGTTGGTACTACATGTGTCAAAGTAAATGTTGGTACTACATGTGTCACAGTAAATGTTGGTACTACATGTGTCACAGTAAATGTTGGTACTACATGTGTCACATTAAATGTTGGTACTACATGTGTCACAGTAAGTGTTGGTACTACATGTGTCACAGTAAGTGTTGTACTACATGTGTCACAGTAAGTGTTGGTACTACATGTGTCACAGTAAGTGTTGGTACTACATGTGTCACAGTAAGTGTTGGTACTACATGTGTCACAGTAAGTGTTGGTACTACATGTGTCACAGTAAGTGTTGGTACTACATGAGTCACAGTAAGTGTTGGTACTACATGTGTCACAGTAAGTGTTGTACTACATGTGTCACAGTAAGTGTTGGTACATGTGTCACAGTAAGTGTTGGTACTACATGTGTCAAAGTAAATGTTGGTACTACATGTGTCACAGTAAATGTTGGTACTACATGTGTCACAGTAAGTGTTGGTACTACATGTGTCACAGTAAGTGTTGGTACCACATGTGTCACAGTAAGTGTTGGTACTACATGTGTCACAGAAAGTGTTGGTACTACATGAGTCACAGTAAGTGTTGGTACTACATGTGTCACAGTAAGTGTTGTACTACATGTGTCACAGTAAGTGTTGGTACTACATGTGTCACAGTAAATGTTGGTACTACATGTGTCACAGTAAGTGTTGGTACTACATGTGTCACAGTAAGTGTTGGTACTACATGTGCCACAGTAAGTGTATGTATTACATGTGTCACAGTAAATGTTGGTACAACATGTGTCAAAGTAAATGTTGGTACTACATGTGTCACAGTAAATGTTGGTACTACATGTGTCACAGTAAGTGTTGGTACTACATGTCACAGTAAATGTTGGTACTACATGTGTCACAGTAAATGTTGGTACTACAAGTGTCACATTAAATGTTGGTACTACATGTGTCACAGTAAGTGTTGGTACTATGTGTCACAGTAAGTGTTGGTACTATGTGTCACAGTAAATGTTGGTACTACATGTGTCACAGTAAATGTTGGTACTACATGTGTCACATTAAATGTTGGTACTACATTTGTCACAGTAAGTGTTGGTACTACGTGTCACAGTAAATGTTGGTACTACATGTGTCACAGTAAGTGTTGGTACTACATGTGTCACATTAAGTGTTGGTACTACACGTGTCACAGTAAATGTTGGTACTACATGTGTCACAGTAAATGTTGGTACTACATGCGTCACATTAAATGTTGGTACTACATGCGTCACAGTAAATGTTGGTACTACATGCGTCACATTAAATGTTGGTACTACATGTGTCACATTAAATGTTGGTACTACATGTGTCACATTAAATGTTGGTACTACATGTATCACATTAAATGTTGGTACTACATGTGTCACATTAAATGTTGGTACTACATGTGTCACATTAAATGTTGGTACTATATGTGTCACATTAAATGTTGGTACTACAAGTGTCACAATAAATGTTGGTACTACATGTGTCACATTAAATGTTGGTACTACATGTGTCACATTAAATGTTGGTACTACATGTGTCACAGTAAGTGTTGGTACTACATGTGTCACAATAAATGTTGGTACTACATGTGTCACATTAAATGTTGGTACTACATGTGTCACAATAAATGTTGGTACTACATGTGTCACATTAAATGATGGTACTACATGTGTCACATTAAATGTTGGTACTATATGTGTCACAGTAAATTTAAGGATGGATATAGTAAGTGTGGACAATGAACAACAAGAGTGCCGTGGACACAACATATGCCGCCACAAAATATAAAGATCCACTATGAGCAAGCTACAGATACAAAGTTGAAAATGACATAAATTTCACAAAAATCAAAGAACCAAAAAACTGCCCCTTCATGCACATCTACCAATTGTAGTAGTGGCATTGAGCAAGTTTCATGAAAATCTGATGATTAGTTTAGGAGGAGTTGCGGTCACAAGAAATGGACGTACGGACGGACAGGCGGAGAAGATGACACCAATATATGACCACCTCCTGCGTCGTATGAAAAATTTTGATCATCTGATATATAGACATTAACTACCCACTCTTGTATCAAAACTCATCTTATTGCAAGACCACTATCATTTAAAACTAAATGCTTTCATAACAATCATTTTTATACTTCAACATGAACCAACAATTATATAACATCTCAAATATCAACAGAAATTACTTTTGTTATTCAATTAAATTATCAATACATATTGTCATGTTAAATGCTTTGTGATACCTCAAATGATACTGAGACAGAAGTAAATGCTTACAGGTATTGCAGTCGCCAACTGTAACCTGTTTATACAGGCCATATAGTTCCAACAAGTCTTTATCAGAGGGTTTGGCTGGCAAATTCTTGGCATCCTCAGCAGCCTTTAAAAACGCCTATAAAAGAGATCAATAATTCATATTAATATATATGTAAATCAACAGC